GTTATTAAGTAATTCTGGTGAATTTGAAGTGAAAATTTGTTTACTCGCTAACGCTCGCCAACCCCCGAGAATTGCTACGCAATCCTATGTGGTTCACCCCGTGAACCATAGCTCGCTGCGCACGCTCGCCAATGAACACAATGTTCTAGCACAAAGACATAGTATATTATCATCAAAGACATAGTATTTTATCATCAAAGACATAGTATTGTACTTATGTAGAAGAATTCTATCAATGTTCTTATTGGCTTTTAAAAAAGTATATTAGCTATTTAGATTGTACATGGTGAAAAAATCAAAACATTAGCTAAATGAGAAACATATTAGCAAAATAAATTATCAAATATTGCAGTTACTCACCTAAATTCAACTAAATGTGTATAATAAATTAGTTAATGCTAGAAATTCTGAAAGTTTTAGAAAAAAATTTTATTATTTAAAAATATAAACTTTAAACCCTAACTTTTCCTTGTGAGATAATAACCCTCAAAAAGTCTTTCATTTTCAAGAACACAAAAATTTGTTTTATCGCCAAATGAAATATTTTTTGGTGATCAGCATTATTGAAATCAATTTCTATATTAATTAACATTTGTGATAAAGTACATAACATTTTAGAACAAAATAAGGATGTTTTACATACAATAAATTAAAATGCATGGCTGTTAGCATTACCCGAGAAATACCACGTGGAGGTCGCCATGCTGCATTTCTAATCGGGGAGTTTTGATTTTGGCAGTTCCCCTTGCCTACTGCCAATAGAAGTTTCAATTAAATTTTTTCCAAAAAACATTTTTTTCTGCAAAGCTCTAAGAAATTAACACTAAGCATTTAGAATTTCTTTGAAAACACAATTATAGATTTGGCATCTTGGAGCAATTACTGAAAGGCTGTCAAATGACTTAACTCTTGACAGGCCAACATAAAGTTGTCCATGACTAAAAACTTGTTTAGTCAATACTAAACTGATTTTCTCAAAAGTCTGACCTTGTGACTTATTTATAGTCATGGAGAAGGCCAGCCTAATTAATTCCTAATTGAGTTTAAATTAAATATTATCATGTTTTTAGGGCATAAATCTGAATTGAACAACCTGATAATGCTCACTCTGGTTATTGTTTCCGTTTTTAAAAGCGCTATATGTTGAGCCACATCATGTGACATTTGCCATGTGACATTTTTAGCAGCAATAATTGGTCGATTTTGTAACGCTGCCATTCGGGGAGTTGTAATGAGGCTTTTTTTTTTGGTGCCGAGTAAGAGAAATATATATATAAATTGTTAAAAAACGTGACATGGTTGCTAGATTTTGAATTACTCGCTTTTTTGGCAGTCCTGATTTGGCCTCTTTCCATTTGTTTATTGCTGTTTATTTTTGTTGCAAGCTGTGCATCATCTTACGTTAGTGTTAGCACCTTTAGCATTGTAAGCACAAGTATTGTTAGCATTGTAAACACAAATAATAAGTAATCAAATACCACATTTGCAAACATCTCAAAACATACAATGATCACGTTGTGAGCCAAATGGCTTTAAAATACAACGGAAACAGTAACCTGGAAGTATAGGCTGTATGGAACTTGCAGCGTTCCCTAGTGTAGGAAACACCATCCATTTGAGAGTTACAATCACGATTAGTTTGTTTGCATTTCACATTTGTTTGTAACATCAGTCACATGAAAATTGTATCATAAGTCAATTAGAGCTTTTTCTCTATTTATCACTATGCGACATTTTATGTGTACTTTCAATGTTTCCTGCTCATTTGAATTTTTTTTTTAAATATTTCAAAAAATAATCCTATTATTGCTTATAGAAGAAGAGGAATTTCAAAATAAAAATGTGTTACTTTGCACCACGTCCTTTCTTTGTGACGTTAGTCACCGTGTTATATTTTTATTCTAAATGAAACCTTTATTATTTTCTTTCCTTTTTCTCAGATGCATAATAAAATTAGGCTGTTTAAAAAATAAATTTTAACTTTTTAAAAAGATTATTAAATATTTATCAATGATAAAGAGTGTTTAAAAATAAGAAAACCCATCAAAATGCTACGTCATTTACCAAGTAATTTCCCTTTATCTTTAGTCGAAAAAGAACCCCAGACATTTTAGATAGCAATAGGATCTCAGTCGGATTGACTGAAATTTTCATGCGTTGTAGTTTAAATCCTCCTGAACAAAAATTCTAAAGGACTCGATGTTAAAAAAATACAGTTTTCGAGTTACGGAGCTTTGAATTGCTTCGAATGACTGACTAATTAGAAATTACTCTTAAAAGTTACGTTGACATGGAAGTTTAACCACCCATTTCTCAATATCCGTTCATCATTTGAAATCGGGTTCATAAAGATTTTAGACCATGAGGATTTCAACTACAAGATATAAAAATTTCAAACAAATCTAGTGGGACCTTATTCCCATATAAAATGTGTAGGGTACTTTGAGGTACCAATCACTTCCGTTACTAATCACCCACTGCTTTCTTATTTTTACTAAATAAATCTAAGATTTTTAAACTGATCGAGAAATTTAATTTAGTCAGTCTATATCAAAATATAAACTTTACAGACACAAAGCAATAATAATGAAGAGGAGGTTACCACACCATAATGAAGTTTAAACTTTTAAAAAAAAACTTTAATAAAATATTAAAAAAATGAGACAGGTATCTACCTGCCTCATTTTTTTACTTTATTTACGTTGCACTAGAGCTGCACAATGGGCTATTGGCGTCGGTCTGGGAAATATCCCTGAGCATGATCCGAAGACATACCATCACAATTTTGAGAGTCCACATCCTCAATTTAGACCTAGTTTCAATTCCTCAATTTAGATTAGACCCAATTTTCTTCCTCATTTTAGACATCGAAAGTTAAGGAATTTTTTTCCAGATCCCAGTGCCCATGGTACTGATCAGAGACCAACCATAGGTCTTTTGATTCTACAGATTTTACGATCACGTATATCCCATGTACTCCATGGGTCTTAGCGAAGTCGGGGATCGAACTCCGGATCGCAGGAACTACTATAGAGAAAAAAGAGAGAAAAAAAGAAGGAACGAAATACTGGTTCATGTTTATTTTTACAAATTCGAGTAATCTGCCCCACACATCTTACATAAAATCAAGTATTTCTTTTAGAAGAGTATAATTTGTTGAAATAGTTTAAAAGGGGACAATTTAAAACGACAATATTTCTTTTGTTATCAACTATTTATAAACTCAAAATAAAGGCTTTTTGTTTCTGTCATAAAATACAAGGACATTTTCGCATGTAAAAAATAAAAGTAAAGGAAAACCATACATATTAAAAATCTCAAATCATTTCATAAATTTTAAAAAGCTGACAATATTTGAAAAATATAAATTGTATGTAAGAACAAAATGTAGCGTTATCATTCTGATAAATTACTACTTAAAAATATTTTTAAAATATTTGTTTTACAGCTAATACTTAATGAATTCGAATTATGTAAATTGAGATACTAGATATTAAATCAAATACATCACAAAAGATAAACTCTTCGTATTTCTAGATGGGTCTGTTCTTAAATTTTATTGTCGTTAGTTTCGATAATTATTCTAAATGATATATTTTTTAACATCTCTTTACACATAAATAAAAAATAACTAAAGGTAAACTGAAATTAAACATTCAGTCTATGAATTTTCGCTATCTCATTTCTTTATACGAAGACTATTTACATAATTAAAACCACTTAAGTTTTAATGTACATACAGTCAACATATACCGTTGAAGTCACAAGAGCAAGTGATGTTTTATGATGAAGCCGGACTTCGTTACGAGTACAACAACTTTTCTTTGTTATATTAATATTAAACATTGAATACACATTTTAATTTTTAAAATAAAAGTGCATAAGAAAATAATTTTCTATTCACTATTTTTTGTAAATAAAAAGGGAATAAAAATATTTTTATTTGATTTTGTATTTGGTTACGAATTTTAAAGGGTATCGTGTCATGCACTCAGTGAATATAATTATTTAACATTTTGCTACTAAATAAATAAAAAAGCGCATTATTCTTAAAATGTATTGCCATTGTTAACATATGTTTTTTATCTTCCCCCATGTACACAAATTATCTCAGTTAAATGTTTCAAAACTTCTAATCGGTTAGAGGGTATTTTAACGACTCGAAATCGCATTGCAAAGGAATGAAATGTTCGCTTGAAGCTATATAACATGCATGCAAGAATCAAAGTTGTTGTTGGTGAAATTCCAGGTCAGTCTGAATTATTCTAGAATATTCGAAATTCTATGAGTTGCATTGCAATCGGCGGAAGAAACTTCAAACACATTTTTTAACAAGTTCCTTTTGTTTTTGCCCATTCAATATTATAACGAATGTTCATTTAGTGTTTTTTATGATGTTTCTGTATAAACAGCAAATAAAATATATATTTAAATAAACAGCTTATCTATCAGACTGTAAGGAGAAGTGAAATTTTCTTTGTATCTGGTTGTTTAAAACCAAAGTTGAACTACTAAAATGCTTAAATTTTTAAACCATTTATTATTTTTTCGGTTAAACGTGTAGTCGAAGACAAAGCAATGAAAAGAATTTCTATCTTCAGTTTGTTTTCTGGATAACTTGCATCTTTATAATGAGAATTCCCACAAACAATAAGGAATTGGCATTTATTTATGTCATTATATTTGTTTCATACGTTTGAAAATAGTTATTAGTACATTTTGCTTGGCTAAGAAATAGGGCAAGAGAAACGATGCATTATAAGGCTTATTAGCTATAATTTATTCTGTATTATGATTATTAAGGGAACTGAAAATCAGTTTTGTTTATAATTGAAATCGATGAAGGCATCCTTGATCCTGAAAATACTTCGTTTTTTTATTTTTATGTCAAAAAGTATTCACTGTGCTCTGCTTTTCGTGTTTTTTCTTAAATTGTTCAGTTGGACTCTTTGTCGTTTTCACGGATGAACCTTGCGCATTATTTCGAAAACAAATCACGCAGAAATAAGAAACAAATCAGTTATAGAAATATTATAAACTACAACTTTCATTCATAGTGAAACTAGAATTTTAACATGTGTGTATGTTTTGAATTTGGACATGTTATAGCATGAAACTTTTATTCAAAGTGAAATAACAAAGGGTAATATTATTTAAATTTAATGTACTTTATTACTTAAATAGCTATTCCGATACGATTTATGTATTTGGTTTTTTTTATTCCGCTTTTTTCTTTTTAAATATTATTCATAATTCCTCGATGTGTTTATGAATGAAAGTCAACTTTTTTATAATTTAAGTACTTTCAAAATTTACCTATCTTAATAAATTTTTTGGATTTGGCTCAAAATTACAAGGCTATGGAGTTGAACATTGGTAGCCGTAAACTGAAAATTTGGTTATATAAAATAGAAATAACCCACCGAATCTCGCTAGATCTACAACTACAGATTGCAATTTTTATCATCTTTCTTAACATCGCCAATACACGGTGTAATCTATTCTAGGATTAGGCCCATACTTGCTTGTTGTTGTTGAGATTTCTTTCCTACACTTAATTAAGCAAGCAGAGCTTGTAATATAATTGCGTATTATCTATTGACCAATTGTACCTATTTCTTCATTTCGAGGATCAACAAAAGTTGAAGCAAAGATTTGCATTTATAGCAAAACATTTAAAAGGCTTCGCAGGTAAACTTGTTGTGCATTACACACTTTTAATTCATAGTTTTCTAAGCTAGTTTTGTAATGTTCTGATGATATCGAGACCTCATTGAAAATGATCACAGCATCTTGATTTTTGCTCACAATAGTGCATTTCCATGAAAAGTAATTCCAAAGGTGAAGAAGATGAGTGATGCATAAAATAAGAACTGAACAGTATGCTAGGCTCTGTATATTTCAAAACCTTAGTTGAAAAAATAGAAAAAAATTAGTGAAAGACAGTAAACAACAAATTACATACCTATTTAAAATTACATATGTATCACATACAATAATAATTTACGTATGGGCAATTACACAGTCGGGTCAACCAAATGAGGAAAAAGCCACGTGAAGTGATAATTAGAAAAATCCATTATTTTTTTTATAAATTCGTACTAATATTGAAATTAAGCTGGACTGCCTTGAACCCTGTTAGGAACTCTATACTATCAAACTACATTTCTATTTTTTTCTTAGTGCATTATATTTTCTTAACTTTCATACATTTTACTTTTTTATATTATGTAGTAAATAGAAATTAACTGTAATTCAATTGAAATTTATTAAAAAGAATTTTTTTCTTATTATAACATCTGAAATTGGTTTTTCTGACACCTTAGCTTCTCATGATGAAAATCTACATATAAAATCTTTTCTGGAAAGAAATAATGTATATTTCGATTCTCCAACATATATATATTTAAAATGTGCAAAAAAAAAAAGAACAGGGGAAAATGCACTAGTTTTGAAGCAGTTTCAGTCTACAAATTGAGTAGTCAGAGGGTTTATGTGTATTTTGTTGTGCCCATTTAGTCTCTGAGAAAGATTATACAGTCTTATGAAAAAGTTTCATTTTACAACTTAATTATTTATTTTTAATCTTGTGACCATTAACTAAGTTAATTATCACAATTTTTATTATTTTGAAGGTTTATTGTAATTCATACAATGTTCTATTTTAGACACCAATGGAAAAATTCACTTTTAAGACCATAAGAGGAATAACTTTTGATACATGGTCTACTGAGGAGATATATAAACTCAGTGTTTTGCAGGTCACTAATACTGAAATATTAGATAGTCTTGGTCATCCTGCTAATGGAGGTTTATATGATCTTCGCTTAGGTATGGTTTATATAGAACTTTTTTTTTTAAGACTGATCATTGTGTGGTTGAAAAAATGACTTGTATATTTTAACACAATAAAAAGTAAGAGTATGGTAATAATATAAAGTAATTGTGTAGTATATTAACAGTATGGTATAATATATGAAGTAATAGTATAGTATAAGAGAAACTAATAGCATAATATTCTAAACAATATAATATTCTCTACTATAATGATATACTTTATAAGACAAAATTATAACATTAATTTTATGTAATGTTAAGTTTATAAATCTTAATAGATTCTATTCCTTTTCGTTACTTACTGTAAAAAGTAGGAATTATGTACTTTTGGTGAATGCAGAGAAAATTTTTTTCTTTAAACTATTAATTAGGAAAAGAAAAGTTGTACTCGATATTCAGCAATATTTGTTTAAATAAATATTTGATGTCTTTTCCCACATTTTAATTAAAGGTAGACAGTAGATTATTAATCGTTATTTATATCTGTAAAAAAAAAAAACAACATTTTATTGCTTTGAAATTCTTGATATTTGTAAATTCAGTTAATCACATTTACAAGCTTTTTTGAATAGTTGTTCATTGCCTCAATGACTATAAATTACTATATTAGGTACTAGCCTTAACAAAAATGTAATTATGAAATAGCAGAGTGTATTCATATTCTATTTAAAAGTGGTAATGTAGTTAAATTTTGTTTATATAATTGATATTTTTACAATTATAAGTTTAAAAGAAATAAAAATAGCTAATCGAAAGAAGCATGGTTACAAGTAGTGTTGACATTATTTAAATTAAAATTCAAAGCACTTAATTTATTTGTTTTTAAAATCCTTTACTTAAATCAATTGATCTTTTTTTTTTTTAAATCATTGACTCTGATCTATATTATTTTAAATTTAGGATAATTACAAATTTATTCACTTATTACAAATTTATAGACTGTGATTTTTTAAAGTCTGATCTCATTTATATGAAAGGTTTTATCTAGAGTAATGTTAAGAGGGTAAAAATGTGTAAATTTGTATTTGATGTTTGAAATAGACTTAAAAATTTTTTAAAGAAGGAGACTAAAAATTGATTAAAAGAGAGATAAAGCTTTTAAAATATTAACATCTATTAGTTTTATGTGAAATAATTTGTAATTTAATAAATATATTTCAGTTATACTAATTTAGTTTTGCGTTTGTTTAAAGAAAAATACTTTTTTAAAAATTTTGAAATTAAATGTTATATAATTAAATGTTTTTTAATGTTATTAATTATAATTAATGTATTTCATTAGAAAAATAAGAAAAAAACTGCTTTAAATATAAAAAAAATCTTTTTGTTGTTAATATTGATTCTAAATTAAATTTATAAAACAAATTATTATGCCACTTTATAGGTATCAAATTAGGGAATTCTTAACATGAAATCTTGTTAATTTGTTACATTTTTACATGAGTTTAAAAAATTATTGTTAATTTATAATTAATTGTCTCCTGATCCTGAAAATAATTGCCTATTTTTTTGCCTTAAGAAATTTTCTTTTCTTTGATCCTATTATTCATTAACTGAAATTCACAGATGTTGAACTCAGTGTTATAAACTGAACTTGTAATCCATTACTCTGTGAAAGGTTGAACTAGATAACTTTGGTTGTTGAACCAGTTAAACCGGTTTTATTGAAATTTAAGACAATTTATAGGTCAGGGCCTGTAAACCATAGTTAGTGCATCTTCATTTTAAATACTTTGTATCGAAACAATTTGAGAACTTAAAAAAATAAAAAAGGGATTTTTTAATATAGATTTACTCATATTTTTAGAGCAAGCTCTTAGTGCTCATGTTTTAAAATATGCTCTTTTTTACAATCTCTCTAGAAGTGTGTTTAAAATGTTAATGCTTCTATTGAGCACAAATTTTAACAATGTGTTATAAATTTTTAGAATTTTTGCCTTATTCTTTTCATTTTTCCTTAAAATACAAAACCATTTCTGAGCTTTTTATATTTGGTTCATAGTTTGGCTAGTTAGTTCTAAAAATTACAGAATTTCTTTTTTTCATATATTATATTTGTTTCTATTTATGTTCTTATTTGCATTTCTAATTTGTATTTAAGGTCCAAATGAGCGAGATGACTTCTGTAGCACTTGTCGCCTCAACTACTTCCAGTGCCCAGGACACCCGGGACACATAGTACTTCCAGTGGCAGTATTTAATCCTGTTTTTGTAACTCATCTATATCAGGTTATTTGTAACATATATTTTATTACTTGTAATATTAGTTACAGATACTAGTAGTACTTGATTTGTACTACTAGTTAGTTAAAATTCAATTCTCGGATTTTACAAATTTTAATTTAAATCATGATTCATTTGATAAATCCTGGTTAAAATCATGTCACTTAATTTTTTTTTTTTTAAATAATTATTTTCATTTTTTAATAATTTTGGTTTAAAGTATTTTTATACAATATAATTAATATATTATTTAAAGTACGATTTTTTTTTAAGTCTGATTTTATTAATAATGAAAGTTGAATGTAAATGTAAGGAAACTGTAAAAAATGAATAGTTAAGAATTGGCAATTAATAATAAGGAAACAGGTAATAATAACTGGGATTTAAACCATTGTATTAAAAAAAATGTAGATAAAAGTAGCATATAAGTTCTATAATTTTCTATCATCTGCATGACAAATAAATTGTGCTAGCAATAAACATATATGAATTATGCCCAATAAGTTTTATGTTGATTATCTATGTAATGAATGTATATCAGTGAAGAAAGACTTTACCTATTCAAAGTGACTTAAATATTTTTTTTTCAGTGAATATTCTACCTGACTAGTTTACTCTTCATTTGATATATAATTAACAAATTGTTTGACTTTATTTTAAATTCATTAGAATGTTGACCTTCAAAAGGTTTATGGTTTTACTCAATAATTAGTTTGTTATATTTTACTTAGAAATATTAAGTATTTTAGCTATTGTACTGTTTTTAAATAATAAGTATTATTGCTACATTTTATCATATGCTTTGGTTGGTAAATGTCAAATATATATATATATATATATATCCAATTTAAATAAAATAAATCTAATTTTTTTCAAATTGATTTTTGCCAGCCCTGGTTTGCACCCTAAAATGATCAGTCCAACTCCTGACAGTTCCTCATTTGTGTAAGAAATGAAGAAATTAATTAGATTGTATTATTTAAAACTATCATCCCCTTATTCTGTCTTATAATTATTTCAGCCCTGTTATATTGTTTGTATAAGGATTTAAGCACTCTAACAGAGTATAATTTTTTTCTTTAAACTTTATAAAATACAATAAAACTAAATGTTACACAATAGGGGAATATGAGTTAATAACTAAACCATCTTCAGGATCTAAAAATATCAAACAAAATATATGAGTGTGTTGCAAGTTTTGATTTTTCACTGCTGTTGAAATAAATATGATTAAAACCACCTACATCAAGCTGTTTTGCAAGATTAATAATGAAAATTTCCTGAGAGTAAGATTTTTTTGATTGCAAAAATTCTGGTACAGTACGACCTCGAAAATCCAGACTTCTGAAATCCGGAAATCTCTAAAATCCGGACTCATACGTCCAGTTCCTCAAAAAAAATTTCAAAAGAAAAAATTTTTAAAAAATCGCTTAAAATAAAAATTTTAATGCAAAACCACAACTTTTCTCCAACAATGAAGCAGTAGATGAAGAGGTGGGGTGTGAATGACAGCTCATAGCTGATAAGGAAATTCCAGTCATTCTTATCAGCTCTGTATGGATAACAAAGAATATAAAGGGGAATCCCCTTCTCCTGAAGGGGAATCCCACAACTCTTTTGCAACAATGAAGCAGTAAATGAAGAGGTAAAGGTGGGGAATGAATTAAAGTTCATAGCTGATAAGGAAAGTTCAGTCATTCTTTTCAGCTCTGTATGGATAACAAAGAATATAAAGGGGAATCCCCCTCCACCTGAAGGGGAATCACCTCAGAACAAGGAATTCTTCCATCTCCTTGTTTTCCCCCCTTGTGATGAAAGAAAACTGGTTCTTTCTTAACCTTGAAGCTTAGGAAGCAGGGACGAGTTCTTTCATCCCCCAACAAAAAAAGGATTAGTATCAGCTGGTACAGTCTAGTCTAGAAGCATCTGTTTCGGTTATAAGTTGAAATTCAGCTCGCGTTTTAAGCCTATATTTTTAGTTTTAATTGCTAATGTTATGTTATCTAAATCTTATGTTATCTATGTATTATAGTTTATAAATAAAAAGTTCTGTTCTCTAACTTTATGCATGATATCTAATCGTTTAATTTTATAATTTATCCGGATAGTCTTAAAACTATATAATGAATAGTGAAATATTAATTGAACTTATATTTATAGTTAAATATCAGTAAAAATTTAAATATTTTTTGTATTTTATTGTACATGTATTGTATTTTATTTTTCTTTTGTATTGTATTGTATTTTATTTTTCTTTTGTATTGTATTGTATTTTATTTTTCTTTTATCTCATACAAGGAACTGAATAACAGTTCCTTGTATGGGATAAAAGAAAAATTGGTAATCATCTTCATAACGTTGAACTTTATATTCTTGTATAACTTTCAAACAGAATCTAAGTTTATCTTGCATTTCTATAATTATATCTTTATGTTATTGTTGCCCCTCCCCGATTCTGCATTTTATAGTTTCTCAGTTATTTGAATTATTTTTATGGGTTCACAACACAGGGTTGTCATTTTTTAAGTAATTAAAGTCATAATCTGCCTTATCCAGTAAGTAGAATTGTTATAATTTTGAGTTTAGTAATAAAATCATGTATACATGAATTTCACCAACTGTTTTGTAAAATCTCATATTTTAGTTACTATATATAAATTATTAGTGATAATGATGCATTGTTGAGTTAGTGTGATATTTTTTTTAGTATTAAGTTTATTTGGAACTTCTCATATTTGTTTAGTTGCTTCGTGGAAGTTGTTTTAATTGTCACCGGTTGATAGCGTCATCTGTTGCTCTACACTTGTTGTTATATCAGCTACAAGCTCTTGATAAGGGGCTGGTGAAGACTGTTTATGACTTGGCTGAAGTGGTAGATGATACAGAAAATGCTGCTATTGATGACAATTTAATGAGTATACAAGCAAAGCTACATGTTAAATACGATGATGCAATTAAAGGTAATTTTATTTAATATTTGTTATTAGAATGAAATTAAAAATATTCTTATGCTGCATTCTAATTGTACGTTTATCAAAAGCAGGCTCAATTCATTAAATAGGCATGGATGGAATAATTAGGTCTAAGGTCATTTAAGAATTTCTTGCTAGGGTCTTTGGAATTTCATGCAATCAAAGATATGTATCATTAGGATTTATCCATAACTACAATTTTGTTGTCATGATTACAGCCTTATGGTTCAATAATAAAAATGAGGGTTTTTAAGAATTTCCTTTATATTCTGTTTTAAATATCTTTTTTTTCTTCCATAATTACCAAGAGTTATGAGATTTTGTTGTTTGCAATAATGTCTTTAAACAATAAATGAAAAAACAAAAATGATTTGTTCAAAAAATAAATTTTGAAAAAAGCAAACAAATCTCATCTTTCTCCCTTTCAACAAATTATAGTAAAATTTTATCTTCTTTCCTTATCATAAACTAATAGAACAGAAACTCATATCTTAAATGCTAAGCACAAAATGATCACGTGAATTCGAATGCTGGACGACAAATGTGTGGTTAAAATGCGAAAAGGGCAGTAATTGCCAGTTTTAATTTTTATCAAAAACTGGAACATTTATTTCAAGTAATTGATTTAATTTTATAATGAAGAATGAAATTTCAGTGTTGTATAATTTTTAATGTAGCATTTTTATTTAAGTATTGCTTTTTACATTTAATAGTTCACTCATGCATTATTTTTAAAATTAAATAATACAATACACCTTAAAGTTGTGTTAATTTGAATTTCATAGGCATTAACTATATATTTCTGTGTTATTTTACTTCTGATTACTGATAGCTAGTTTGGAAAGTTGGCAGCTCCTCTGTAAAAAATCATGCTTGTTCTAATTCCTTAAAATTTATACTTTTATTAAGAAAACTACGTTATATTGGAATATTAATTGAATGAACAAGCTCTATAAAAATAAAGCATAAATCATAATAAAACATACTTTTACAAAGTTAAATCTTATTCTAGTTTCAGCTTAGAATCAAATCTGAAATTATGCTCTATTTGTTCATATCTGTGTTTACTTTATTAATACTATCATTGATATTTGTGTTTATTGTGTACTCATTGGTTGTCATATTATGGAAAATGTAACGGGATGATATAACAAGTTGAGTTGTAAGAATGCAAACAAAATGTATACATAAACATAAAGTATCATGAAGTATAATTTGTAATTGAAATGTTTTTAGAGTTAGTATGTATTTTTAAAAAAAAGTTTATCAAAGTAGTAAAGATCCAGAATCGGGCCTCAATTTTTTACCTCACCAGACTGTTTTCTGGTTTTTGCTTTAAAGAATAAGTTTTTGGTTGAAATAGGATCTCAGGTTTTTAAAAAATTACTTTTAAAATTGCATAAAATCAGGGTTTGAAAAAACCCGGCGATTTTTGAAAAAATCCAACCCGTCTGGGTTTTANCTCTATAAAAATAAGGCATAAATCATAATAAAGCATTCTTTTACAAAGTTAAATCTTACTCTAGTTTAATAAGCTTAGAATCAAATCTGAAATTATGTTCTATTTGTTCATATCTGTGTTTACTTTATTAATACTATTATTGATATTTGTGTTTATTGTGTACTCATTGGTTGTCAAATTATGGAAAATGTAATGGGTTGATGTAACAAGTTGAGTTGTAAGAATGCAAACAAAATGTATACATAAACATAAAGTATCATGAAGTGTAATTTGTAATTGAAATGTTTTTAGAGTTAGTATGTATTTTTTAAAAAAAAATTATCAAAGTAGTAAAGATCTATAAACGGGGCTCAATTTTTCCCTCACCAGACTGAGTGCTTAAAAAGTCAAAAATTTATTAATTGAAACTGTTATTCTAATGAACTAAGTGAATATACTTATTTTTTTATAACACAGAAGTTTTTTTTTTAATTGACTTTGTGTTTTGCAATTACATACTTAATAACATTACACATTAAGAAATTTGCCAGGAATATTTATAAAGGAGGGTTCAAATCTTCTTATCAAGAGTAAATCTAGTAAAAATTAAGCCCGTTTAAGGACCAAATTGAAATTCTATACTCATGAAAATTTGTACTTTGGTGTGAATTATTGGCAAAGCCTTATTTAAATGAACCAAAAATAATGAGATTCAATTTTATTGACGAACCAACTATAGATAAATCAGTTTGTTTAAATTTTTTTCAATATTTAAATGCTTATAGTCTTATAAAAATATTTTTGCTTTAAAGAATGAGTTTTTGGTTGAAATAGGATCTCAGGTTTTTAAAAAATTACTTTTAAAATTGCATAAAATGGGACTCTTGCAAGATATTTTAAATTGAACCCTGAAGATATTTGAGACTAGTATTCACTTTCCCTTCCTTAGAGTAAGCATTAGTGATGAAATTATGCATATATCATGGTAGGAATTAAAACACTTTCGTCACTTGTCCAAAAGATCAGTAACAAAGAGATTTGATTCTGTACATGTTTTCATTGGTCGGTTTACATGTATCAACATGGTTTACTTGTCGGTTTACATGTATTAAAAAAATAATAAAATTGATTAGGACTAGGAAAATTTACATGAAAAATTACAATACATTGGATGTGTAATGTTCACACATGTGATGAAACACACTATGTGACAAGAACACAGATAAAGTACTCCACCCAATTGTAGCCAAGCACATAGTTTTGTTTTTCAGAGCTCTATCTATTAAAAGCCTAGAGGCAGGAATTTCACATAAGTTTGCTCACAGTCAGACAACATGGACAAAGTCTGAATCAATTCAAGGACTGTCAGCCACGACAGATTTAGCATAAACCTTGCTGCATATACCAGCCAATTTAGTCAGCTGCAAGGATCAAACTCACAACCCCTAACTCTCCAGTGTCTTTACCAAATGCAATTGCATAGCTCTGAAAAACCAATATAGCGTGGCTATTTTGGACCAGTGATAATTATTTTAGTCAAATTTTAGTGCTCCCAGACCACTGCTAATTTCGAGCTCTGAAATGTGCATTCTTTTATTTCCTTCTCTAATATGTATATTAGTATGAGAGATGTTTTCGTTAAAAATGTTTCTATTTATTATAAAAATTGTTTTCCTTATTAGATGCTGACTCTGTTGATGCAAACCTGTATGTCAAGAGTGTTGTAGAATGCAGGAGAAATATTGTAAAATCTTTTGTGAAACAGCACATGATGGGGGCCAAAGGAAATTGTCCTTACTGCAAACAGCCACAGAGAAAAATCACACGAAACAATAACAGATTTGTTTTCACTGATAGTGGCAAAAGACCTGGAATTGGAGGGACTCGGTAAATTTTAAATCTTAAAATATTTCTTTCATTCTGTTAAATTTTTGTTTTTGTTTCCTAAAAAATAGATTTGCAAAACTTGACGGCGCTAAATTGTTATTCAAGATCACTGTTTAATAGTACACAACATATAGTTCATGTATTAAATTAAACATGAGTAAAAATACTTCTTGTAATTCTTTGATATGATTGTTGGGTTTGTAGTTGTCCTGATTCAAAATATTTTTTTCATTATTTGTCCTAATGTTCCTGATTATTATGTGTTTTCAAAACACCCCTAAACATTTTTGCTTTAATTAACCCACTGGTGTTTTAGTAAATGGGAAAAATTGGAGTATTTTCTTCCTAATTTACTATTTCCCTATCTAAAGACATGGCAAAGCCGGTTTCATTGTGCAGAGAAGACTGCTGGTTAAAATGCGTCTTTTTACATGCATATTTCATACTTTTGCTCACTTAATGAAGGGGAAAAAAAAAAACATTTTTGATAGCAAAATGTTTTTTTGTTTTTTTTTTTTAATATGCCTAATTTCTAGTTGTAAAGTGATGTTAAGAGAGTAACTCAGTAACATTTTTGAGTAGTGCATGATTTTCTCTTTAATAATAAATTGTTTATATAATGTGATATATTATTTAGACTTATACTTTGAAATTACACAATATGAATTTCGTTAATGTTATATGTACTATTGTACATTTAATTATCAGGGTTGCTACGCTGCCTGGAAAGTCAAAAAACAAGAAAAATTTAGAGAATTAGGAAATAATTAAAAAAAATCAGAGAAAAGTTGAGATTTTTTGAGCCAAAGTCTGGAAATATCAGGGAGATTTGCCAAGTGCCAATCATGCTATCTTTGCTCTAACATTTCCTCATCCAACACATTCCTCATGCAATAGTTTTGTTTTCCTCTATTTGACCATTTAGTCAAATTTTGCAAAACTGTAGCCTGGCATGGTTTTGTGACTTAAAAAACTTTTAACTGGAAAAAGGTTTTTGGTTGCAGAATCCATAACAGATAGAAAGATGGATGAACTTCAGACTGTTTATTTTTATTCTTTATTAAAAATTATTGGAATAAATAGTGTTATATGAACTCTTATAAATTATTAATTTTTCCTCTATTACCAAGGTTTGATACATTCAATTAACTCAATTAAATTTGTTCTTAAAAACCCGCAAGACGCATGGGGATTGCTGTTACGTTTGGAAATTATGCTGCTTTCGTTAGTTTTTTTTTAAAAATAATTATTTCCTATATACTTAATACGTTTTTACGATAAGCAAATTTAAAATTTGATCCATCATTTCTTACGCAGTGTTGGATTTGTGACAATTCCATCATAATTTAACGTTGATAGTATATCAGCAGTTATGTATAATATTTTTGACTCACTTAATGTGGTTTTTCTAATCTTGATATTTTCAATAGGACATTATTATAACCATCAAATTTTGTTTTTGAGTTATCACTCTTTGATGATTTTGGTTTGTAACAATTCACTCGTAATTTTGCATCATTTGATGGTGGTTCGAAATTTTTAATTTGATGTTATTGCTGTGTTTGAATTTGAGTTAACACTTTATGGTGTGTTCGATTTGTGATGATTCCATCATAATTTCATCGTAATTGGAAAATTGGCACCTCTGAATTTAAATAATGAAAATATAAACAGCATATTTATTAATTCTTTGTTTTTCTTATAGTGGAGCTAATGAATATCTTACTAAAGAATTTACTGCTGAAGAAGCCAGGAAACATTTACTGCTATTATGGAAGAATGACAAAATTTTTCTCAAACACATCTACAAACTTTTAGATGTGCCTGAAAGTTATTCTGGTGTTCCTATTGACATGTTTTTCATGACTGTGATAATTGTTCCTCCTTCAAAATTTCGACGGGTATGTGAAAAAAATAAATCTTTTAAATCAATTCTTTGTCTGTTTTTTGTTTCTAAAATAAAGATCCAGGTATTGAAAAATAAATGTTGCATTGTTATTTTGTAGAAAAATTATATTTTACAGTTTCATAAACACTTAATGCATTGTACTGATTTTATGTTTGTTTTATTTATGAAATTAATTGTTCTAGTATTTTGCTTCTAACTGATATCTTGGGGTAATTTTTGCCCAAGGCTGCAATGTGACAAAGTAGCTTTTCCCAAGCTGCAAACTTTGTTTATAATCTTTGTCTATCTATAAGGGAGATTTAATATCCAAATTAGCTTTACTTTCATTGTTAAAATGATTTTTTATATGACATTTAATTCAAAATCTTTTTCAGCAAGCTAAAATTTTGTGGCCAGTTTGTACCAATAGTTCAGCTTTATTTTAAATATTTTCAGTAAAATAACCTGAAGGAGGTGGTACATTAGCTTTATCTATTGAATGCTTTTAATCTCAGAGAAATAAAATAGTTAGGCCAAAGTAAGCAAAAGTTGCATTATACAGTAAAACATACAGTAAAAACCTATGTATTGACCACTTTTGGAAGGCACATAATATTTTCCATAGACTGCAGATAGAAGACCTTTGGGAGAGACCATTAAAATCTTTCCCAGTCACCGTGCAAAACCTCTGCACCTAATGAGGAAGAGGTCAAATGAAGGAACTTGAAAAAATACCAAAACAAATAAGTAGATCAAAATGTATTCAAAATATTTGTCTGAGGCTCTTATTTAGGGAGCTCTTTTTGATGATACAACCTCATGTTGCAGTCAGAGTGATCTAAAGACAATGCTCTCAATGATTTACTTTCAGTGTTGAAAGTTAGATTAGAAAAGAAAGTTATTTTTCGAAAAGCGTCTCAAATAAACCTCTTCTCCTTAAATAATAAACATAATTGTTTATTTATCTAAAATATCTTTATTATTCATAATTGGTAAATTTGTTTTTACACATAATTATGGCAGTTGGGATCAATTTTATAGAAGCTAAATTTTATTCATTGATAGATCTTTTCGTAACACCAACGGAAGTGGTATTTCCACACCAAGAAAATGACACTGACTAAAATTAAAATCTTGTGCAAAATATTATGTACCTTCGATGAAATTTTTGAAGTCAATTAAGTTAACCTCTACGAACATTCACCAACAACCATTTTACTGTGCAACGGAGACTGGTAGCTACTGAGCGGTTTCACAGTATTATGTTTTTGATGATTGTTGAAACTTTAAATGCATTATTATTTCTCAAAAATTCTTTGTGGCAAATAATATCTTCAATAGCATATTTCTAATATTTGTGTTTTACTGGCATTAAATCATGTAAAAATAGAAAAATGGGTCAAAGAAATCCAATTAACAATGATTAAAGGCCACAAAATTATACAATTTAAAAATGAATCAAAATATTTCTTTTTTGTTTCATGTTAACCAAATTCAATTTTTAAAAAAAAAATTCTTTTCCAATAATTGGGAGTTATTTTTTGTTGCAGCTAAATGTAATGCATGGGAGAAAATACGCTGATGTCCAGACGCTTGCATTTTGTGAAGTATTGAAAGACTGTATACTCATCAACAAGTTGTTGCAACTTATAAAGGGAGAGGTCCTGGATGAAAATGAAAAAGTAAAGATGCAGTTGCTTAAACATTGGAATTTTATGTTTAAAAAAATAATAATGAATTATTTTAAATATTTCCTTTTAGGAAATGGTTAGTAAAATTCCAGGTAAAAGTAATCCAGAGAAATTTAGCAATGCGTATTTTCAGTTACAAAGTCATATCAATGAGATCTATGATAGTGAAGTGAATAAGAAGAAAGGAGCAACAACAAAAGGTGTTAAACAGGTACTATAAAGCATTGTTATTTTAATAACTGTTTTTGGTCCATATTAGCTTGTTTTAAAAATAACAAAACGATATATATGGGAGAAAGTTTTATTTCTTGTTTACATAAACATTTTTTAATTGACTTGTTTCATAGACATTTTTTAATTAAGTCAGTTAATAAATCTGTTAGTGAATCACAGTTAAGTATTTAAAATTGTGTTTTTGCTTTAAAAATATGTTAACTATAATACTATACTAGTAGATCAACTAATTAGCAAATCAAATTCGATGATGGTTTGCTACTACTTTATGTCAGTGTAGACAAAAGACATTATGTCCATTCAGCCACTAGCATAGTTGTTGAGAAAGATATTCGCAATAAAAATTGCTTAATACTTGAGGTTTATTTATATGCTGTTTCCTGTGTAATGACCCATAAAAAATTTTTTTATGAGAGTTTAAAATATTGAATTTTCAAGTTTAGTATTTTAATTTTATGCTTTCTAAGTTCCCTTAAATATTGTTATTTGTCTTTAATGTTCTCCCAAGAAATTTGTAAATTTTTGTTCAAATACAACTATTATAATTTAAGTTTTTATTTATATTCTTGTATGAATATGAAAACAAGCAAATGCTATCCAAAATTGTAGTTGCCTTTAAAAAAAATGCAAATTCTTTGTACTTTAAGTTGTCTTTGTAGATACTTGAAAATGATTCAGTTAAAAACAGTAGAGAAAATGCTACACAATTTCAAAAATATGATTGAAAAATTTTAGCCAAATCTAATTTGAAATGTTATTTATTCTGTTATTTTTCTTGTAGCGTATCTTAAAATATAGGATACTTCTCAATATTCCAAATTATTACTCTTTATAAATAAATAAAACTTATTAAGTACACTTTTGAGAAACACATAAAAGGAAAAATTAACTTTCAAATTCACCTGATTTCTTATTCTCTTTTAAATAATTAATCCAAAGTAATTAAGTAATAAAAATTACTTTGATTTATGGATCACTTGATAATAAAGTGTATAAAAGAAAACAGCAGTTCACCTATTTTTGATGACAAAAAAAAAAAATGCTTCAATAATAATTGAATAAACCAGCACATCTACGAAATACTGATCTATTTTTCCAACTGAAACAAACAACGAAAAAATAAATTATTTTAATGCTGGACCTAACTAATCTTACTTAAATATTTTTAAGACGTTTTATTTATGTTAAAAATCGGAAAATTATTCGGAGTTATATAATTGTTGCAAGTTTTGTTGCCTAAGTAAAACCCAAACAATTTCTTATTTTTCCAAAAATTGCATCTCTTCTTTCTTCTGGCATATTTTTTTCTTTTCTTTTTAGACTTTTTTTTTTATTTATGTTAAAAATGTGAAAAGAATTATTTATTAGAAGTTATATAATTGTTGCAAATTTTGTTGTTGCACCCAAATAATTTCTTATTTTGCCAAAAATTACATCCCCTCTTCCTTCTGGCATATTTTTTTTTTTCTATTTAGACTTTTATTTCTATTTTTATTGTTTAATTAATTTAGGGGAAATTATTTTAAACATTTATTGAGATATAAAATTTAATGCTCTTAGATTCCTGTAGAGTAAAAAAAATTAAACTGTGTTCTTTTTATGTATAGATATTAGAAAAGAAAGAAGGTTTGTTTCGTATGAACATGATGGGAAAGAGAGTGAACTATGCTTGCAGATCTGTCATCTCTCCAGATCCTTACATCATGGTGAATGAAATTGGAGTACCTTTAGTATTTGCTAAAAAACTAACCTTCCCAGAACCTGTAAGCATTCTAAATTTTGAAAGATTGCAGCGAGCTGTAAAAAATGGCCCCAATGTTCATCCTGGGTAATATTTTTATTTACTTCTAATACTTTAATCATTTACTGCTGCTAACTCCTGTATCTGCCAAATTGGTTCATACAACAACTTGAATGAGGGAGTTTCGCAGATCGCAGCAAAATGTTTGAAGATGTCATCTGTTTAAGCTCCCTTTTATTAAAAATACAACAATGTATAAAAGTTAGATCAAGATTTTTAGCATAACTCTTCTGTTTAAAAATTTAAGAAAGATTTTTATTTTTGTTCATATCTAGCTTTTTCTTTTTCAAAATGAATTTTATATATATATATNTATATATTTGACGCTGATGGTAATTTTTTTTTTTTTTTAATGCATTAATTGGAGAACTGAAATGTTTATCTTTAAAATTTTCTTCCCAAAATTAAGATTGATTTTTATTTTTGCTATTTTGTTTAATCTTCATTTTTATGATTGTGTTGCATTTCTAAAGCAGTTTCTTAGATATTATCTCTTTCAACGTTTTATGGATATATTTCTTTCCGAAAAATGTTATTTCTAGCAGTAACGTTTTGTTATCAGAATTAAGAATATATATTTTTTTTCTTCTTTTTTTTTTTAAATAGCTGCTAATCATTTTTTTTTTAATCTTAAATATTTCTAAGTATCTTAATATCTAATTATCTTTTTTATTCTAAGCATTTCTATTAAAGTTTACTTTCCTTCCCCTATACCAATAATACAGATAAGTTTTGATTATATTTCAATAATGACTAAACTTATTTCTATATAAAAATAGTTATTGATGATTTTAAAAAATGTTACTATTTGACCAAATATTCGGTATTAGACTAAATCACTATTTGTTACAACCCTAATTGTAACTTTATTTTTACATTTGCATTTAATCTGCTTTCTAAATTATTTATATGTTAATATCTTAAAGTTTTTAAAATAAGATCACATGTTTACTAATAATGATTTGTAATTATATTTGTATCAGTTATTATCGTTGTAAAAATTTTAATAAATTACTGAACTCCAAGTTATGAATAAAAGTAATTAAAGTTTTAATTGAGATTTTTTTAAAATTAATATTTAGTTTTACCTTGTGAAAACAGTATTTATGGGTAACTAATGTGTATTTGTTTTTACAGGGCTACACTGGTACAATATGAAAATGGGAGGGTAGTCCGATTAACCGATAATGAACCTATAAAGCGACATGCCATCGCTAACACGCTTCTAACACCGCCTGCTAATCCTGTTCTTGGTGGAGTCAAAATTGTTCACAGGCATCTGAGAAATGGAGATATGTTACTGTTGAATCGTCAACCCACTTTACATAAGCCTAGTATTATGGCGCATAAGGTAAATCTTTTTAAACTTTATTTATTTTGTATTATAATTTTTTTAATGTAAACTTCTTAGAGTTTCTTCTGCAGTCTATGAAATAGTCCTTTTCTTCACAAATGTTTCCAAATGAAAATCTTCATAGAAACATATTTATACATATACAGTGTTCTCCATCAGTGTATTTTTAGTGATTTTCCAGCCTATTTCCCTTTTCACTGATATAATTTCATCCTCCTACGCTGGTAAAAATGTGGCCCTATCCCCAAATCACAATAAAGTTAAATTTCGATATCTCAACTACACTCTCTGAAGGTTCATCTAGTGTTCTCGGAGGTATTTGGCTGAGTTTCTACATATTTTCTTAAAGTAACCCATAGCAGATGATGCTTCTTTAATTAATCATCAGGAGCTTCATTTTGCACAATAATCAATGGCAACAAAGTCATTAAATTCCATATAACCAAGATGTTTGAGTTCTGTTTGGTAATTCCAGTCATTTTCTACTCTGTTGTCAGCAGCATCACTTTTGTTAATTAATGGAGCACTTTCATGGTCTTTTAGGAAACCAGTCTTTCTTAATCTAAATCTTAAAATGATCTTAAGATAATTCAGAAGTGGTGCAAGATATCTTGAATGGTAAGTGGCTGAAATATGCCTTCATGTTCTGTATCTTTCACCTCTTATTGCAAGAATTAGGATAAGAAATTCTGCACTCTCCTTTAAAGCCACACAGGCTGTCAGTCAATTTAGTGATACCCACCTCATTTCTATCCATGTCTTCATTATCAGTTTTGTTAAAGCCACGCCACCCCTCTGGAACCTTGGAGAATGAAAATCAATAGAAATTAATGGTGGTGAGAGTGATCAATGCATGTGCATTCCAACTATTTGAAGACTGAAAAGGAAGCAATAAACAAGGGTTTTTAATTCCCTTCTTTGAGGTTCAGTGAAAATTTCATTTTCTTGTTTGCAATCATAACATCCCTTCATTTTAAAGTTTATACAGGATTTTCCTTACAAATTTTTAAATAGTTCCTCTATTTTTTTTTAAAAAAATCATTATTTTCCGGAAAATATTTTATGTTCAACTATCCAGGGTGCGTAGCATTTTTAAAAAGAACTTAAAGGTGCTTGTTTTTGATGCATGTTTTTTAAGAGCACTTAAAGGAGCTTTTTTTATTTGAGCTTGTGAAAAGTGTGTGATATTCTATCTTTTAGAAATAGATATTTTTTCTTTGCCGTGTCTATTGTCTTTCTAAATTACAAAAAATGCATGATTTTTACAATTTTCTCTGCAACATTTATCAGAAACTACTAATTTTATCGTGATTGTTTTTGAAAATGTTTTTGAATTTTACTGATTTTATGTTTATAAGTGAAGAACTTTAAACGGTAGGAAAAAAATAATTTTTACTACTGCATAGATCCTAATTATGATGTTTTTTTGGGAGTGATTTAAAATATTTTTGGGTGCTTGAAAAGTGCTTATTTTTGTTGAAAAATCTGGCTGCGCACCATGTTATCATATTAAATTCCTGTAGCATTCAATATTAAATGCAGAAAATTGTTTGTCGTTATGAAAGCAGATCTCCACTGCTTGATATCTTTGTCTTTATATTGTTTATGCATTTCAATATGGATTCTAAATATTTATAGATAGCAAAAAACTGACTTTTTCTTTTTTAATCAGGCCCGTGTGCTTCCTGGAGAGAAGACCCTGAGACTGCATTATTCTAATTGCAAATCATATAATGCAGATTTTGATGGTGATGAAATGAATGCTCATCTACCACAATCTCTTCTCGGACAATCAGAAGCTCGTCATATGGTGGGAGTTAACCACCAATACCTTGTACCCAAAGATGGCACCCCCTTGGGTGGTCTCATTCAAGATCACATTATTGCTGGTGTTCTTATCACTATGCGGGGCCGTTTCTTTTGCAAGTATGTTCTGCTTAATCAATCTCTTTTTATTGTGTGTTCTCTCTCTGGGTCCTTATAACCCAGGGCATCCTAATTTATGAGTCTTTGTCAGCAGTTTGAGCTGAAATTACTTGTTCTATTTCTTGCATTAGTATTTATATATTTTTATTTACCATTTTTTTTTCTAGTTGCAAATTTTTATTTTTTCTTTTTAAAGTTTGAATAAAAGATAAAGTTTGTGCTCTTAAATCTGAGTGATATTTTTTTTTGTGATGAAGAAAATTGCCCATCCCCTAATCTGTATATATTTTTAACAACCACCGACTATATCGAAATCTACAATGTTAATGCTTTCAAAGCTTAATATGTAAATATATTTTTTCCTTTATTTCCGCAAAATATTATTTACATGAAAGGAAATTTACGAATAAAAGTGTTTTAACTGCATAAGACCCGTGTAAAAATGGAGGAAGTTCACTTGCTTCCTACTGTCATTCAGATCAAAATTCATTTTTAATTATATTCCGTGTCACTCTTTGTTGTAAATTAAATTATGCTCTATGCTTCTTTATTTTCTTTTGTTTTGAAGCCAATGTTTCCATTTGTTCAATATCACTGTTATATTGACAATATAAGAACATTTGTATAATTTTTTTTCTTCTTAATTTTAAAATTCTCTTTTCACAAATGTTATTGATATAATATTTCATTATTATTTTAGAGAAGACTATCATGAGTTATTGTATAGNCATATGTTCAATATCACTGTTATATTGATAATATAAGAACATTTGTATAATTTTTTTTCTTCTTAATTTTAAAATTCTCTTTTCATAAATGTTATTGATATAATAATATTTAATTATTATTTTAGAGAAGACTATCATGAGTTATTGTATAGTGCAATGTCATTTAACAAGAAACGTCTAAAACTGCTTCCTCCCACCATATTAAAGCCACAAGTTCTTTGGTCAGGAAAACAGGTAAAAAATATTACTGTTTTCTGAAATAAAATTCTTCGTATTAATGTATCGTTGTAAATTTTGTTTTGAGTGGTAAATTTCGTTTGTATAAAATTTTTATATAGATCTAAATATGGTTTTAGGTCCATCAAAATCAAAAATATTTCAATAAAATTGGCAGAACCTAACTTTGCCTTAAAGTATAAATTTAATAAAATTGCACATAAATTACGTATAAGTTTTACTATTTAGCTAATATGAAAGTGATTATATGCAGTCAATTGAATTACAGTGTACTCAATATATCTCAAAGTTGAAGGGATGCTAAAAAAAATTCAAGGTAGCAAGTTCAGAACTAAATATGTTCTAAAAAGTCGAAAAATATATTCTTAAATATTGCTCTAAAAAGTAGAGTCGTGAAACATAAGAATAACTACTTTTAAATATGTATGTAATGATGATAGTTGATAGTAATGATAGTTGAAAAGGATTGGTTTACAACAAATTTAAATTTTGAATTTTTTTTAAAAGAAAATTATTTTCTATTTAGAAAAAAATTTGACATAGGAAGGTTTTGAGAAGAAACCCTTTGACATATGAATTCAAATTAACACTATGTGTAATGCCAAGGGGAAAAATATTATTTTTTTTGACATAGCAAGGTTTTCGAGATATTGAGAGTAAACTGTAGCTGTATAATTAATTAATTCAGGTCTTGTTAATAGCTTAAAAAAATTAAACCGTTTTATATTTTTTTTAAAAAAAAATGTCTGGCTTTTGCTCTGAAATTGTTAGAAACTTATTTCAAAATTGTTTAACTTGGATGTAAAATATCTAATAAAAAAAAATATGGCATTGTTTGTAACATTTACAAAAAAAAGTGTTTGTTTTTGAACTATGAAGGTTTTTTTTTTTCTATGTCTGAGTCATTTTTATTTGCTGTACTAAGTATTTTATTTGATTACATTATCATGTTTCCTATGTGTTTGTTATTCTTTTTTTAGATTGTATCAAGCATAATTATTAATCTGATCCCTGAGGGAAAAACGCCTCTTTCAGTTGAAGGCAAGGCAAAGGTTTCTTCCAAAGTAACTATTATTATTACTATTTATTAGTTTACACTGCTTAATTGTTTGTATAAAAACTTGTTAATCAAATATTTTTTTCAATTAGTTAGATAAGTTTAACAATAATCATAAGTTTAACAAAGTTTTTTATTGTATTTTGTTCTACATTTATTTAAGAATTTAATTGTCACCAATTTCTGTTTCACATTTAACTTAGATTCTAAGTTAACACGCTTAAAAGTTTTATTTTGGAATGTATTGCGCAGAGTCAGGGAAAACCTAGAATTGGCAGGTAATTTAACTTTAAGAAACGAGGAATAGTCAGGGAAAGCGGCAATTTTTTTCTAAAAATCTAGAAAATTCCTATATCATACCTAAAAAATAACCAGTCTTCAATAACAGTTATTGGTTATGGAGATTCAATTTAAGAAATTCTAACATCTATTACAATTATTTTGTAAAATTCCTTTTTTCGTGAAACTTTTCCATGTTTCCTTTCTTATTCTATTAAATGTTTTTGCTCCAAAAATCTAATATTTAATGTTACAAATGAGAAAAATCGCATGGTATAGATGAAATATGCTATGGATTTTCATTCAAACCTGACATGAAACTCAAAAATTTTACCTGATACACCTGGAAAAGTCGGGGAATTTTTTTTTTCTATTCTGAAATTGAGTAGAAACCCTGTTGCACTCGCACATACATGAAATTATAATTAAAATAGAAATCTAAACTATTTCTTTGTATTTATATTTATTAATATTTTGAATTATTTTCAAAAATGATATTTTTTGAGTGAAATATTGATTTAGCATCTATTAAAATTATTGCACCACCAATATCTACTTTCAATATTCTATCATAGATTTATAAGCTAACATGCCAACTAACCTTTTCTTCAATAAGCGTATTAATTACTTTCACAGGAGCAGCAGCCAGCTCTTCTGACTTAAAACTAAATTCAGTTCTAATTGGTACAAGTCCGAAAATGTTTCTAAAATTTAATGCATAATTTAAATACTTCACTTCATTGTTTCTTTTAGGTATATTGAGTTGATGCAAAAAGTTATGGTACAAACGTATGACAGAGTTGAGACATTAAGTAATAAGTTGTCTTTTTCAGAGTAAAAAAAATAATTCTTTGATTTAGAAAACATTGTTTAAATGAGATTGAAAAAAGTGTTTATTGATACCAACCAAACCCTTGTTCCTTCCGATAATTATTGTTATACATGGTGCATAGCGTTTTTTAAAGGTGCTTTATTTTTGATTTTCGTATTTTAAAAGCCCTTAAAACTGCTCTTTTCATTGAGTGTGTGTGTAAAAACTGCTTAATTTTTCCTTTTCAAAAATGATATTTCTCTTCTTTACCATGTCAATTTTCGCCATGTATTATGCAAAAGCGTGCTTTTCGCATTGTTCTATTCATTATTCAACCAAAAGTACACTACCGAAAATGTATATAAAAACTTATAAAATAAAACTTTAAAACCGATCGAGTCAGATGTTGGCTGTATAGACTTTTCAGTTAGCTTATTAAGTTTGTTTACTAATTAAATTTTCTTATTCAATGTTATTTCTATAGTCAGTTTTTCTACCTAAATATTTCAATTTTTATTAATGTTCTGATTTGTGTGCAGTAATTTATTCTTTTTCCAATTAAAATCTTATGGCTAGCAGTCCGTTTTTCTAGAACATTTCTGAAGTGGTATATTTTCTGACTACTTTATTTACTACTGATTTATTAATACTTTTGCTAAAAACTTAAATAACTTGCTGTGAATTTTGTCTATGTTGTTTAATTCTACCCTCTCACCATTATAATTACTGATGCGTAATGTTACTTTTGCTATTTCATAGCGGCTATGTTATTTTTATGTCCATTAAAATGCCCTCACTGAACCATTCATTTCAGTATAGCAAATGAAATATGGTCATTTGATTTCATGTTAATCCATGATAAATGTTGAACACATTGAATCCTCTTTTATCAGAAGAAGGGTGACATCACATCCTGAATTCTTATCCTAAATCTCTAGGTGGTCAGTGAAATAGTATTTTGAAGGATAATTTTACATAAGAGAAAAAAAATAGATTTTTGTTTTTACTAATTTTTCTGTTGAGCTATTACTGAATTGCTTTAAAATTGGCCACATGTATTTTTAGCTGTGATTTAATATTTGCGTTATTTTTGGACACTTACGATATAACGACCTCACATCACTTAAATAAAAGTTTTGTAAGTTAATGCAAAATAGTCTTAGTTTATTTTTAAATCAAATTTATCATTATTTTTCATGCTTTACCTCTTGTTTTTCTTCTATTTTTGAAATATCATTATTAATATATATGATCAGTTTCTGAATATATTGCTTAAAAATAAAACGTGTTTGTTTAGAATTGGAAAACTACTGCTTCTCGTGAGTGGCTTGCTGGTGGGACACCTTTAACGGGTGATGCAATGTCTGAATCTGAAGTCATTATTCGTAAGGGGGAGTTATTGTGTGGCGTCATTGATAAGGCACAAGTTGGACCAACTCCATACAGTTTAATACACATATGTTACGAGGTGAGTTGAAATACTTGTTAGAAAATTTTCTATTTCGGTCTTGGAGGCTGTAGTATTTTTCATTCTTCCACTAATCCCATAACGCCAAGACATCCTAGTTATATATTCTCTTTTTACTTTTTTTCGGATTTTCCTTCTGGTTTTAGTTGAATAGTCAATTTATAATACTGTTTGACACTCAATATTAAATATTTAAAATATGTAAAAGAACTGAAGATTGACCAATTCTTATTTGATATGGACTGATAAACCAGCCAGTACATAGATAGGTAAACTTCTGTTTTATTGGCCAGTAAAATAGACCAGTTGATTAGCTGTCAGGAGTGATAGCTAGAAGATGGCTATTAAGCCAGCACTCCTCATCTCTGCATCCCAATTTGATATGGGATTTTCCATTTTCCTTTAGTTGATTACTTGAAAGCTTTTCATATAATGCGTGGGGTATCTGTATGTTTATTACTTATTAAATGGTGAAAATCAAATGAATGATCGATAGTATGTATTTGTGTTATGATATTAACTTAAAGGAGAAGTTGTATTTTTCATTTTTCATCATCTACTTAGTTGTCATAATTTAAATTGTATTAAAAAAAAAATTTTTTTTAATTTCATTCATTTAAGTTACATGATTTTTGTAAGAAAGTATTTAATCAAAACAAATTAGATATGTAGAATTTTTATTAGAAATAATTTTATTTCGTTTCCTGTTCTCGGAGAAAAAAATTATCAACGGAATTTTTTATATTGCATACTTAAAATTGGAAACTTTTATTATTTAAAGAGATATTAGGGACTAAAATAAATCAAGTTATGAAAAGGTTCTAACTATAAAGATCGTTTAAAAAAGAAAAACTGCAAAATGTTAGTAGCTAATATGTACATATTTTATTAAAAGAAATGCTATGTTCAAATTATTGAAAGTAATGTACACTTCATTAACATTAAAAACAAGTAAAATCACTAGTAACAGTAAAAATTTGGTAACCTAGAATTTAAATCTTTTGAAATGACCTTGAACCTGATTAACTAAAATTTTAGAATGTGTAAATGTTTTCTTAAATTATCTCACGCTTTTTCCTTTTCTTTTGAATTCAACTAAATGAATCTGAAGTAAATATTTGGTGTTAAAGGGTTTTTAGTATCCATATCAAAATGACTCAAGTTGTTAAAGCTTTTAGTTATAAATATTCAGGCTATATAATTTGTCTGCATTAAAATTGAAGTTATGTTTCTTTTTTGTATAGCTTTATGGTGGAGAAACATCTAGTGTTCTTCTTACTGCCTTAGCCCGCCTTTTCACACACTATCTGCAATATTTTAATGGATTTTCTCTTGGGATTGAAGACATAGTTGTAGAAGATAAGGTTTGTATGTTCTTTTATTTCATAAACTGTTTTTTTTTTTTTTTTTTTTTTAAAGTATTATTTTTATAATTACCACTTTTTCACAAAATTTTGCATGTCAGGAAAAAAAACATCATTAATTCAGTATTATCAGCTGTAATAACAATGACACATGTGTTGGTGGGAAAATCAATCTCAATAACCATCAAAATTTTACAAGTAGAAATGATAATAGTCGAACTAAGAAAGTAAATTATCATATTATGGATATGAGCTTCGCGTGTGACAAAATTGTTTTTTTAAAAAAAAGGAAATCCATGTCAGTAACTGTCGTAGGAGCAATTGAAACATCTTAGGGATCAAGGATGATATTTGTGTTAACCGGGCGTTTTAAAGAGTGATTTTTTTAATCCGCAATACGAACCTTACATGCCGTAATAATATCAGCATTTAAAAACAAAATAAAATTAAAATTTGTTGCAATAATTGTTGAAAAAAAAGGATTTCTAAAATGAACTATCTTTTAAACTTTCGTGGTTTTGAAATATATGTTTTATATATATATTTATATTGTTTTATATATATAAAGAGGCCTGTCCAGGCCAAATTTACTACCGTTTAGCGGTAGCTTCACAAATTCAACTTCAAGAAAAACTGTTTCACAAAATACTTTTTCTTAAAATTTTGTATCCCCTAAGACATGATAAATCCATATTTTTACCCAATTTTTGTGTTGATTTTTAATATAATATTTAATTTTCACATATAATATCTAAATTTTCCCAAAATATGTATGTACCTCTCAGAAAAATCTAGTCAGACCCCTGATATATATTATCCATTTAAAATCTTGCTGAAGCAAGTCATTATCAAATTTTTATTTATGATCTTTTATCTTTTGATAATTCTGCAGAAAAGAAAAATCGTTAAAAATTTTTTGAAGAAAAGAAAAGCAAAATTTTTTAACTTTTTAAAAGAATTTTTTTTTTTTACTCTGCGATTCTGCCACGGGGATTTGCAGCAAGTTTTCAGAGATGTAAACTATGCTAAACTGTTGTTAATCACTACCTGTTAATCTATTTATTTTTTTTTCGGATTAAAAACAGTACTATATGTATTAACTATTGAAAAATCTTGTTTGTCATTGATAGTTTACTTTTTCCACAAACAAACTATAATGCAATGATTTTTTTTTTCTTTCTCTCTTTCACCTTATTAAATATAAGCTTTCAGTCCTGGTTATGACACAGCAGTATAAACTTTTTTAGAAATGTTTTTTATCGTGTTAAATTCTAGGTTAATCACTTTTGGTCCATATGAAATTTTAGTGTAACTTACTCTCGTTATTTCTATGAATGTTGCAAAACATGTTTTCAAGGCCTGCTTTACCATACAAGTACAACCACTCTTCTAAACAAATTCTCATACCACGAATATCGAAGCACATCTAGCTCCACCGCACCGAAAAGGTTAAGGGTGATCTTAATTTGTGCTGAAATAGTATTTCAGTTGTTTCTTTTTGCGTGTAAAGTTTTTGTTTTTCCTTGATAGCTTCTCTGTCTAAAATGACAAATCTCATTTCTAGAAATTCACTTTTGTTGTTCATTTTTTTATATATCATGTGGAAAAATGGGGTTAAGTCTATAAGGCTTTCCTTACAGCCTGAAATCTGTCCGAAAATAATTAAACTAGATTGCATTTCCAACACAGATAATTTAAGATTTTGCGTTGGATAATAGTGTTCTACTGTAGAGTCAATAAATTATATTTTGTTAGTGTTTTTTTTAAATCATTTTAAATAAATAAACTTTATTTACAGGCAAATAAGAAAAGGAGGAGAATTTTTCGTAAAGCTAATGCCAACGGGAGAATTGCTTGTGCTCAAGCCTTAGACTTGGAAGACAAGGAAAACATTGACGATAATGAACTTCTTCGTAAATTCAAAGAGACTCATTTCAGTAGGGATGATTTTGGTCTTAAAATGCTAGACATGGAAATGAAGAAAGTGACTCATGATCTAAACAATCAGATAAATGAGTAAGATTTTTAATTATGTTCCCCTTTCAGTCCTCTTTGTTTTGAAAGGGTTTTTCTGTAGATAAGTGACAGGGTTGCCACTTCAGGGAAAACCTGGAAAATACAGAGAATTTATATTATTGACTATAGTATTATTTGTTTTAAGTATGTCCAGCTGTTCCTGTTTTTCACAGCAATTATAACTAGTATAGTTATCCCAATACAGCTCATACAAGAGCAAAGTGATTGTGTTTTTTCTTTTAATATATTATGTATAATATGTATAGGGAAAACACAAGGAATTTTTTTTCTCTCCAGATTTGAGTGGTAACCCAGAGTGCATATCTGTTAATTTTTCCAATGAACTACTGTATTTCCCTGTAGATTACGCAGTTTTGATGTATTTTGAAAAAGTTACATGAAATTAAGAAAGTGTCAGAATAAATCAGTTGCAAGATTTTATTCACTGCCCTTCCTTGAAGGGAATGCAGAGTTTTTTTTTCTTCCCTCAATTAAAATATTTACATCAACTGTGTTTAATATTACAGCTAAAAATACAACATTTAGCTTAAAGATTAAACAAAACAAATGGTACAATTAGAATCATTGATAAAATTGCCAGTTCATTTATCAGCTCTATAGATTTACAGTTTTTCAATTTCATGTATATTAATCACAATATATCAATATTATCCTCACAGAGAAGGATCTCCATGCAGAGATTTTGTGGACAATAAATCCATTTATTGAAAACCAAAATAACACTCTTACAGGGCTCAAAATTGACCTTAATTTCATTTTTTTTAAAAATAAAATGCCTTTAATTATTAAACATTTCACTAAATGTCCTGAAATTTTTGTGATTTTTTAAAACCTTTGTTGAAATTAACAGAAAGAAAAAATATTATTTATCTAAAAAGAAATTCAAGAAATTTCAATTTCAAAAATTATGTTCTATGCCATGAAATAATATTTAAAAAAACCTGAAATGAATGACAAAGTATTCATAGCTCATCAAATATGATATTAATATACTTCTAGAATTAGAGACAGTTACCTTTGATTTGATGGCATAAAAGCATTTGATGTCGAAGAAATATATAAAAAGCTCTTATCTCCCTTCTCAGCACTATATCATACTCTACTGTTTTTCATGAGAGAATGTTTGTATTTTGCTACTACTTAACAATTTTCCATATTTGGGCTCTCTTTTTTTTTCTCTCACTTAAGTGCAGGAACTACTGAAACTATTACCAATTGTATATCTGTGAATTCATGTTGGCATTACAAAATAGCTCCTATTAGAGAAGCAGCATCCTTAAATTGTTCTTAATTTTAGCTGCAATTTTGTCCTTAATTTTTACATTTTGGACTTCCAATACTACCACAGAAGAACTTATCTTTGAATTTGGAATTAAAATCACATTTCAAAGAACGTATAATAGCAGTAGATCGTCGAAACTGCTCGTTAGACTAGTTAGATAGTGCTTACTAGTCTAAACATTTAGACTAGTAAGCACTATCCCCATCGTTATGCATAAAACAATTAAGATATCATTGCCTTTTTCATCAACTTATTTTTTTTAACTAAATTTTCAATTTGGAGTGTTCTTAAAACAAAACATCATAATCGATTTAAACTATGCATCTGTTTTTTGTGATGATGTAACTCAATGTTTCCCAAACCAAACTTATGACTTTTGTGTACTCTTTCTAAATTTTTCCTTGCATTTTCCACCAACTTTTGTTAATTTTTTTCTTTTGATTTTAGAGTATGCCTACCCAGTGGTTTAAAGAAAAAATTTCCAGAAAATAATTTGCAGTTGATGATTGAGTCTGGTGCAAAAGGATCATCGGTAAAATTATTATTTTTTTTATCAATATTAGTTAACTAGTGAGAAATTAGTTATACAGTGTCAGCTAATGATGCTTATGTAAAGTTACACAATAAATTACTCTGTGGAACAAAGAAATATATATATATTTACAGGGGTCTGTCCAGGCCGAATTTACTACCGTTTAGCGGTACCTTCACAAATTCAATTTTAGGTAAAACGGTAGTTTCACAAATTCAACTTTAGGTAAAACGGTATTTTCACAAAATACTTTTTCTTAAAATTTTATTTTTGTCTCCCTTAAGAAACGATAAATCTATATTTTTACCATGTTTTAGTGTTGACTTTTTAATATAATTTTTAATTTTTCACAAATTATGTCAAAATTTTCACAAAATAGATACTTTTAAGAAAAACCTAGACAGACCCCTGATTTATAAGCAACAGCCCACTGTGAGCCAGTGGGAACATAGAGGTTATGGCTCTACAAGTTTAAGACCAACGGCACTGATTGTGGCATTGTTTTCAGCACTACTCACAGGTCGCTTTTACTTCCCAGACAAGCTGGAACCCATTGATCTGAAGCTGGTTGGGCTTCAATCTGTTAATTGGGATCGAACTCTATTTCTTCACAATGATAGTTTTATGCCTTAAATTCTGAGGAATCGTGACTCTCATATATATACAATAACAGGGTTACCACCACGTTATTTTTGTATTGTTATTATTCAAATTAGGAGAATTCAGAAGGCCATAACTTTTATTGAATTTTTCAATGGTGGAATCAGAAGTCACACCCATTCTCCCAGATGGAGGGGGGAGGACAGAAATACAGACAAATCTGACGAAGATTAGTTAGTTACATCATACGGCAAAAGACATGCGAAAACAATTGCTCCCGCATTATATACTAACATATCCTCCTTTGAAATATAAATCTAATTATAATTCAATGGTATGTTTTCAGCCTTGAAGTCCCAAAATAGAATTTCTACACCTATACTTATTCTTTACCAAAGATATTTTATGAAAACGAAAGAGTTTTAATGTTGTTATTAATACTAAAGTATTTATAATTTTTGTATTACACACACACATATATATATTTATAAATGCCTTGGTTACCATTAATAAAGTCAATCAAGACATTTAATGATTATGCTTATTCTTTAATAATAACATGAGTCACACAGAAACAAACTTCAAATAACTAATAACATAGTCATAGAGACTCTTAACCACTAAGGTTACCCGTTTCACTTAGAAACTACTCCGACAGACAATTCCAACTGACTCCTCATTTACATTGAGAAAGTTCTATGCATTTCGTACAGACGAGCGACATCTGGCGTACTAACATAGAGGCTGTTGTCTTGCTTATTGCATATGTATCTGTCTGTGTGTGGGTGGGGCGCAATAAAGATAAAAAGGATACAGCGAACGAAGAAAACTAATAAGTTTTCTTTTATTATAACTTATATACATATATATCTATTGTTTTCTGTTACGTGAAATATTTTTTTAGCAAATCTTAGATACCTTCGTATTGCTGTTTCTCCCTCCAAGCTGCAGTTATTTTTTAAATGACATTTTTTGTCTTATTTTTGTCAAAACTTATGCTTAAAATTGTTATCTATAACAGCGGGTCTCATAAATATTGGTTTAAATTTCTAAGGGAGTTAGGGCACATGCCCAGGAATATCTTCATGCGCCGCTTGGTATACTTCCTTACTGTTTCTTCGTTTGCTTCTGAACAAGGATTCGACATGAATAGTCTCAAAATAAAAGCAAATTGAACTACAGCTGAAAGTGTAAAAGTTTCCAAGTTTATGAAATATCTTTATATAAATATTAACTTATTTATAAATTATATGTTTTTAAAAAGTTAATAATACTAAATTAATATACTCTCCATACCAATACATATTTCATGACATCATTTTTAACCCATGGGTAAATTAAAAGTGCACCAAAGTTAATTATGTTATTCAATGTTATCTTTAAGTAGTTAGGTATTTTCACTTCAATTAGCCATTTTATTTTACATCAGCTGATTGATGTTTTAGGTAAATGCCATGCAGATATCATGTCTACTGGGTCAAATTGAGTTAGAAGGAAGGCGAATGCCACTTATGTTGAATGGCAGTACTTTGCCTTCATTCTTACCTTACAGTACATCTCCCAGTGCAGGTGGATTTGTTGCTGGCCGTTTCTTGACTGGAATCAATATACAGGAATATTTTTTCCATTGCATGGCTGGAAGAGAGGTAAATTCAATTTTATTAATATAATATCATTTTGTAGATGTACCTTAGATTTCTGATTATGGCCAGTGGTGTGTCTGTGTTTTTTTTTTGTTTTTTTTCAAACCACCTTATTATAAACAAACACTTATTTTCTACTTATAACTCAACAGAATTATTTTTTTTCTGTAAAAAATGAAAATTTATGCTAATTGAACTGCAGCAGTGAACAGCTGTTATTCGAAATGCTAGTAACCGGATGTCTGAATTTCCCGGTTTTCAGGATCGCTATAAAATGATTCAATATATCCTTAACTATATTCCTACTTTAATATTGAATTTTAAATAATTGCTGTATTTTAGTTGTTTTAATTTTCTAATTTAAACAGGGTGCGTAGCATTTGTAAAAAGTACTTAAAGGTGCTTTTTTGGGTATTTCGTTTTTAAAAGCTTTTAAAGGTTCTTCTTTCAGCTGGCGTTTTTAAAAAGTGCTTTTTTCCCGAATAATTTTTTCCCCCCTTTAGTGATATCTGGTGGATCCCATGAATTTCACGAAAAATGGGGAGTTTGCTACGTAATCATTCACGCAGACTTCATGTCGTACCCACGTTATGACTTGCACATGCGCGCACACTTAAAACCAAAACCCAAGTGCTCCATTTCGGATAGAGAATATCAGATCCTTATTAAATGTTTTTCGTTTTAATTTATTTTAATTTTATTCTTGTTTATTTAATTTTACTTCTAACACTTTTTTTGACGTAGGGGGTAAGGATACTTTTGTTCTGAGTTCAGGGTCAAGTTGAATTAACTCGGTGATGTGGGAAAGTACTGATTGTTTCAATTTACGCCCGTTTCTTTCTGGGTTTTTTTTAAACGCTAAAACTGTATATAAAAAGTTTTTGTTTTTCAATAATATCATTGATTGAATATGAATTTTTTGAGTGCTTGAAATTTTTTTAAAAAGTGCTTATTTTTTAATCAAAGTTTTGGCTACGCACCCTGTTAAAATTTGTATTTTCACTTCACTATTTTTCTTTATTATATTTATATAATAAAGCATAAGGCGAAATTTTCTAACACCTTTTGTTTGCTGTTAATTCCCTTTTGTAAATCAGAGCAAATTGCGAAATTAATCATTTCATCTGATTTCGTTTTTGAAAAGAAAAAAAGCATAGATAAAAGAAAATTGTAAAAAAAAAAAATTTATATTTTACTCTACCATATTGCAAGTTCTGTACTGTATTTAATTTCATCTAATGACCCTAGAGGTTTAATTTTTTTTTGGGGGGGGGGGCAGAACTAATATTTCTGCAGCAATACTTTTAATTTATATTAAAAATATTTTACTGCTTTATTGAAATTAAAATTTGTATTATAATTCTATATAAGGTCTTAAACTCTGATGCTTTGAACATCATTTGGAAAATTCAAATCTTACTTTAAAAAAAAATATAAAAAAATTTCTTCTCATTCAGTTACTATATATTAAATGATCATTGCTTATTCTTATTGATAATAATTTGTAAAATTGAATGAAAACAATATATATTTAAAATAGTAATATAATCTTTATCTTGCACTTATCTCAGCTGACTATAATTTTAAAATATTTACTCATCAAATAAAATATGGCACAAACTAATTCTTAGCTTTCTTTCTGCCATCTGTTGAAACATATTAACTGACAAAAATACCTTTAATGCTCTTTATTTATTTGATTTTCTGCTTTGCTGTGCAGTTTCTTATGAGTGATTAAAATCGGTTTTAAGTAAGAAGGTTTGCCTTCTAAACGCAGCTGGTGTGAAGTTTTATCCATACAAACTATATTTTATTCTTTAATCTAATATAAGAAATTATTTAAAATTCTATGTAGTTGATTTTCAGTTTAATCATCTTATTTTTAAATTTTATTTAAAAAATTTTTTGCTTATATTGAAAGATGTTAGTTTTTTTAATTTTTAAACAAACCACCAAAGACTATTTGCTTCTTCTCAAGCTTAGTAATTACTCGACTTGAGTTTTAGAAGTAATAAATGTATAATTATCTTTCCTAAAACTGTTGATTTTTAATAAACTTCTAGCCTTTGTTAAATTTTAATTTAGTTGAAATTTTTAGGGTTAATTTTTTAGTTTAAATTTTAGTACAACTTTAAATCAAAATATTATGGTGATACACATTAATATTATATTTAAAACAGAATTAATATTATATTTCCGTTTTCTTTTTTTAAGGGTCTAATTGATACGGCTGTCAAAACAAGTAGAAGCGGTTATCTTCAGCGTTGCCTTATAAAGCATTTAGAAGGTATTACAGTTAATTATGACTTAACTGTGAGAGACAGTGATGGTACAGTAGTTCAGGTGAGTGGATATCAGTAGCAAACCTTACCTCCATTTTTATAGATTTTTTTAATAATTTATGTTTTGAGTTATTCTGTGCTATTTTATTTATTATGCTCAATGAAAACTGCAGTTTTGTGTAAAAAAAACTATGGAATTATCAAATATTTTTGAAATAATGTAGCTAAATGAGTAAGAAAAGCATTCATTTAAAAAAAAAAAAATTGTTTTAAAGCTTACAAATAATTTTATTAAATGATTATTACTATTAAATTTATTTGTGGAACTGTGTTAAAATTTATTGAATCAAAATATTTAGAAGAACTGCTGAAATAAAATTTATGCTTTATTAGTTTTAAAAAAAATAGAAAATTTAGAGGTTAGATTCCTCAAAAAATAACTGAAGCTTGTATTTCTATTGTGAAAGATATGAATATGTTGAGACTCAGCTATGGAATGCCTCGTGTAACTCACGATTGCTATGGGATTAACGCTTTATTTACACTGATACAAAATAATTGTTTGTGAAAAAGTTTATTTGATTGACAGTTTCTATGTTTATGGAAAAATTATGAAAAGATAAAATTTAGTTTTGAAAATAACAAGTAGTTCATGTTAGTAATACTCCTAGTTTAGTAAATCTGTTTTTTTTAACCTTTTTGTTTCATTTATATCTGAATAATAATAAACAAATGATATATTGCTAGTTTCTGTATGGAGAAGATGGATTGGATCCTTTAAAGATGCAACTTCTGAAAGAAAAAAGTTTTAATTTGCTTTTGAAAAATTATGATACTGCTATGAATGAAAGGGAAGTACAGGCCTTGAAAAATCTTGTGAAAGTTGATCTCGAGAAAGAAAAGAAAAAGGTACATTTCAATTAAAAAAATTTTACGGTAGAAAAGTTTTTATAACAGTGTTCAGAATTCCTTGTGAATCTCTATTAAGTTAAAAATAATGTTCATACTGTAATGTTTATTTTCCCTCTTCAAGATTACCAAATGGAAGAAGAAGCACCCTGGAACTACTAATTCCCGTTTATCTATACTACACAATATAAGTAATGATTTTAAAGCTCCAAAAGATAGGATTCGAGACATTATAAGCAGTATTGAAAATATAGAAGAAGGCGTAAAAAATAAGTAATTATTACAATATTTTTTAATTTTTCTCCTTAACCTTTTATAGAGTCATTTTTTCTAGTAATGTTAAAATAGTTTTAGAATTGAGAATTATTTATAAAACCAAAATAATTTAGTTTATTACCTAAAATTAATTTATGAGACCTTTTCTGTGGGAAGATGGAAACAATTTTCAAATCTTTACCTACTGACTCTGTGCTTATAAATAGAGGAATTTATAAATGCTGTGTTTATAATTACAAATAAACTGGATGAGAAATTCTCTAACAAACAATTACATAACGCACAAGAGAAGATAGCTTCCCATCTTGGCTTCTTTTCTTCTACTAGCGTCATTCTTTACTGTTATCCACCTTTATGTAACAGGGATGAGATTCTTCCGCGGATTTCCGCTTTTTCTCAGATTTTTCCATTTTTTCCGCTAATTTCAGCTGAAATTTTTTTTTGCACAAGTTAAAATATTTTATGAGGAATTTAATTTTCCGCTGAGCGAAATTATTGAAGTCCTCATTCCTCCCTCTGAAGTTTCTCTAAAAATCATTTCCTTGGGATNTTTCTTACATAAATATTTCGCCTTTTCTGAAAATTCAGTCGTTGAAATAAAATAATTATATTTATTTCCGATTTGATATATAGACATAATATATCGAAAGATATATAGAAAATTCAAACTACGTAGCTGCCAACCCTTCCACATATCTACTTATTATAGCTATTAGCTTTTACGAGCAGAAAATAAGATTTTCCTCATTTTTACCCGTCCGCTAGATAGCTCGTATTTTCGTAATCCAGACGTCTCTGAATTTTAATATCAAACATCGATTTTCGTATTTACCTGATTTAAAAGTTGCGATTCTTATTCACGCGATTTCAATATCGTTCATTGCAATTCTTATTTACGAGATTTAAAAAACCAATATCGCGATTTGTATTTACGAGCTTTTAAAACCCTATGTAGCTACGCCAGCTTAAAATCCAATGTCGTGATTCGTTTTTGCGGTTGTAATATCGCGCGATTTTAAAATTATGCATCTTGATCTAAAAATTACGCATCATGATTTGTATTTTCGCATTTTTTAAATTCGATGTAGAGTTTCATATTCACGTGATTTAAAAGCCTCACATGGATTATAATCACGTGGATTACAAGTTTAAACAAAAATTTGACAAAAAAAGTGTGATTTATATATATATATATATATATATATAGTTATGATTATGAAAGATCGTAANAAAGTAATTATAGCAGTGCAGAGCAGTGCAGCAAAGATAAAAGTAACAAAACATCATAAAAGCAATACCACACTTTACTGTTATCCACCTTTATGTAAGTAAAACCCTCCATTAGAATTTTTACATTTTTTTTTGTATTTTCTGAAGTTATCAGTAGATGGCAGCACAAATCATAGATGGGGAAATATCTTTCCATGGACATTTAAAAGCTAAAGAAGGTTTATGTTTAGTTACCAAGCGATTATGAAGTGTTAAAATCAGCACAGTGCCACTTTTTTTTCCTCTCAGCTTTCTACCATTGAAATTTGTTACTTTCATTATTTTGTTTATTTATTATTCAAAAATGAAAAGACTATTTTTCAAGCTTTATTTTTAAATTTATTTATTTATTTTTTTTAAGAAAAAAATTATTGCTTTTCTTTTAGTTTTAGGACTTTAATTGATAAATTACATGAAAACAAAATGACTTACTCATTTTACAAAATATATATATAGTTAGGGATGTACATTTTGCAACCCTCGAATAGAAACGATATGGTACTCCATCTTGCTGCTGAAAAGTAATTGAAAGATTCACATGTCAGAAATTTTATAAGTTTTTAAAACTAATTTTAAGAAGACAATACTGGAGATAAATACTGAAATTATGTAACATTAAATTTCCAAAATGAAGGCGCAAAGAGATTTAATTCTATTGCTGAATCACATATGAAACAAATGCCATTCAAAGATTTATGAAATTATTTTATTGAAGTAATTTAGATTTACAAGGAAAAAAATTTGGATGCCCTGTGTGGATTCGATTTTTTTAAAGGAGGCAAAGTATATTAAATTTAAAATGATTTTTATCTTCAAAATATTGTATATTTAGTCTTTTAAACTTGATACATAATTTTCTGTATAATTGTTTAAAGAATAATTAAAATTATTGTCCATAAAATAGACCTTGAAATCTATGGGGGGGGGGNTCTAGGGGGGGGGGGGATCCTTTCAGCATTCTTCCAAAAAAGGTTTTACACCACTAGTATAGTTTTTCTTTCTGTTTTGTTACTTTTAATAATGAATTATGTTTTTTTTTATTTATTTATATTTATATATATATATTTTTTTTAAGAAATGCCAAAAGCTTTTTTTACTGAGGACAGGATTTAAATCAACTTCTTAAAGCATATCTTACTCAGTTTTCTGATATTTTTTTTAGATATGAAAGAAGAAGGAAGAAATGTCCAGATCCTATAAATGACAGATATAGACCAGATGTGACCATTGGTTCTGTTACTGAAAGAATGGACTCATTAATAGATGAATATATAAAAAAGAATTCTCATGGATTATTGAGAAATGATGGCAGAGGAACGACAAAAGAAAAATTTAAAGATCTGTGTTATTACCGTTCTTTAAGAGCACTTGCAGATCCTGGGGAAGCAGTTGGTCTTTTGGCTGCTCAGGTAAGAATTTCAAAATAAAAATACAAAATCAAAATATAATTAACTAACTAGTTTACTTATAATTAGCTTATTAGTTTACTGTTGGGATGATCCTTGATTGCTTTTCTAATTTCAAAATAAAAATACAAAATCAAAATATAATTAACTAACTAGTTTATCTATAATTAACTTATTAATTTAATTAGCATAATTATTAGTTTAATTAGCTTATTAGTTTACTGTTGGGATGATCCTTGATTACTTTTCTCACTCATCACGCTGATTTTCGACAGAAAGAGTTATAAAGCTAGTAATTTTGCAACCAATTTTGAACAGAAAAAATTTTTCTCTTGAGTTTCCACTTGTCTAAAAATATTCTTTTCCTTGTAATTTGTTGCAGAAAATTTTCTTTGAAATTGCTTTTTTTAACCTATTTCTATAAGCTATTAAAAATACAGTATGCTCTCAAAATTAATGGGACGCTTAAAAAATATTGAGATTGTGAGTTTTCGAGATAACAAGTTCAGAACTAAATATGTTCTAAAAAGTAGAAAACTATATTCTAAGATTCTACTTTTCAGATTTAACTCTAAAAAGTAGAGTCGTAAAACATAAAAATAACTACTAATAAATATGTATGGAATGATAGTTGACTATAAATACAGTAATGATAATTTCTATTTCGTAAAATATTTGACATAACAAGGTTTTGAGAAGACACTCTTTGGCATGGGAATTCAAATTAACATACTTAATGCCAAAGGGGGGAATATTTTTTTCTGATATAACGAGGTTGTCGAGATATCGAGAGTATACTGTACTTATTTTTCATCAGTAGTTCTTATAAAATGCCTTTTTTCTTTTAATGGAAATTTTTTTTTCAGATTGTTTGATTTCCTTATAGTGCCAGATCTGCAATTAATTCTATGTATGAGTAACATTTAAACTGAGAATAAGTTTACTGTCAATGTTGCTTTTGATATGTATTATAAAGAACTTAAAGAATAGATTCTAATTTTTGCTGAATTAAAAAATAGACGATGTTGAAATTTTTACATAGTTTTGTTTTTATTAGCTTAACTCATTAAACATCTTATTTGACTTGAAGTTGGGTCTTAAATTGGCTTTTATTACATTTTATTGGCCTTATCAAGTCTTGGTGTTTGCTGTTTATTTTCACTTTAAAAGTTTACTTTAAACCTTGTTTTGTTTTACTTTTTTATTTTGGTAAAAGTGTAAATGAAACACACTAATGTATAATTTGTCTAAAATAAAAATCTCCCATTTTCATTCGTCTGGACCTTTGGCAGTGACTATGGTAATGAGGTATGACTATTTCAAGTAGGGGTTGATGTTTTTTTGTTTTGGAGTGGTTTTCAGTTCGAGTTAGCGAGAGAAAGGAAATCTGGGTCTATTGTATTGTCCTAGACTAAAGTTACCTTCCCTAAAATGCGCCTTTCTTGTTTCCGTAGCACCTGGCTGCCTCTGACTTTGTGGCGGGAGGAGTTCTTATCTTAAACAAACTATAATTTCTCCTTTTTTTTTTAATCAAAAATGTATGCTAGTGTATCATAGTTAGGGTTCACGCCAGTATGGTGTCATTGCGACAATTGTTGCCAAATGTTCTATGAATGTCTCTGAGTGACAATATTGTTGTCCTGTGCATCGCTGACAATATTGTCGCCTTTAAATATGTTTGGAAATTACAAAATAGTAATAAAAAGTAGTTTTTTTTCTTCCGGAAATCCATTAATTTAAAAAGAAAATTTGTGCTAATTTTAATCTACGGGTTAGTTTTTTTCAAATGGAATAACTGTTAGTTCTAAACTTTTATTATTTTGCTTATTGATATATGTTAAGATAACAATTACAATATGTATACATATTTCTCTTCTGTGGCACCATGAACTCTGGTATTTTTCATATATTGGCAGAAAAGAAATACTGAATAAAATATGTTTTGTTAGCTTCTCTGTTTTCCTTACTTATTTATTTAGTCTCAGCATTTTAATCTGTATGTTGAATCTATTTACTAATATTATTTATTTTATCTTTTTTTTTCACCTAATTTTAATAAATATTATCTTCAATCATTTTGGGGTTATGCCTAATTAGTTTAAAGGGTGTAATAGATGGCAATTAATAACTTTTGATGTATACCAGTGTTTCCCAAACTTTTGACTTTTCTGTACCCTTTCTAAATTTTTTGTAACACTGTGTACCACTAATGAAAAATGAATGTATTTTTTACTATTAAAAAATCACAAAAGCTAAACACCACTGTTAACACCACTAATTATTAACTGTTAACTCTTCAAAAAATAGCAAATATAAAAATATGTAATCATAAATTTTTATGGCTAGCTTTGTTTTTAAATAAAAATATTTGAAATTTTCGTTTGTTGAAAGATATTTCGCATAAGAATGCGTACCTCTGCTAAACTGTTCCCGTACGCCATGGGTGAAAGTCTTCCGTCCCAAGGACGGATTTCCGTCTTTCAAAAATGTCCGCAGGCGGAAGTAAGACGGAAACAAGACTGACTCGAAGACGGAAATCAGAATTTTTTTTTCTGTCCTTAAAAATATTTTTTAGGTCTACGTTATTGGTCTACTTTCTTATGTCCTGTTGTTATTTTATCAAAAGACAGATGAATAAATATTTTTTTTCAGTACAGTGCCCGCCGCTAATAAAATCACCAGATAATTAAATCAGCCGCTTTATAAAATCAAATCGGCAAGAACCAAATCGTTACAATATTAATACATGTTAAAAACATCCTTTAATAAAATCAATGCCGCCGCTTTTTAAAATCAAAATTTTGACTACATAGGTGCGATAAAAAAATCAAAAGTGCAATATTTCAGCTTTTTTTGTTCTTATTTATAAAATTTTATTTTTTCGAAGTTTAAAGATTTTTTTAGAAGAAGCAACAGTTACTCACAAACCTGTGAAACAGGTGTGGTTAGCACTTTCCTGCGATATACATAGTGTAAGAGTTAAGGAAAAATGTGGGTGGTAAGCGGCGAGTTCATAGAAATCAATTTATCAATGTTAATTCCTTGACTTGAATGAAGTTTGGAGAAACCTATCTCACTCAACAGGGGGTCGAATTCTTATCTTACTTTTTATTGAATGAACCATAGAAGGGAGAGAAGTTTCTTTTGTTATCTATCTTAACAGAGAACATGAATAGATTTCCAAAAACTGTCTGTGCGCATGTTCCATATTATTTAAGCCGTTTGAGTAAATTATAGTTAGAGCACATATCATTTTTAAGTTCGTTTGGTGTTAAATTTTATCAGCATGCCGAAAAGGATGGATTTGAGTCTTAAAGATAAATTCGAAGTGTTGCAAAACTATGATAAGTTTCCTAAATGTAGTCAACGTGAAGCTTCAATGGAGATGGAGATGGGACTCATAACTGTTTCGAAGAAATGATCAGCAACGAAGAAAATGAAATAGACGAGAATTTTTCATGTTACGTAGCTATTGACGATAACCTGCAAACATCAGGAGGAAAATCTGATTCTGAAATTGTTACAGACATCTTATTTCCCATCAAGAAATGGAGGAATAAGATTCAGAAGATGAAATAAACTCATCAGTGTCATCTTCAATGGAAGTCAGAAAAGCACTTAATGTATTGCGGAAAGCTTTAGAACAAAGAGGAAGAATATCGAAAACTATAAAAACTTCTATAAACTCTCAAATGATGTTGAAAAGTTAATTTTAAATACTGCAACTCAAGCAACCATTGATCGGTTTTTTGCAAAGCTTTTGTAAATTTAATCTTATATAGGGTTTTACTCTATTAAAATAATTAAATTAGTTAAAATAAAGCATTAATGTGGTCATTATTTCAGCTTTTAAAGTGTGTGCATTTAGAATGTATCGTAAAAAAATTTTTTTTTTCAAATGTTTAATCGCCTCTTAATAAAATCAGCCGCTTAATAAAATCAAAAGAGCATAAAACGAAAGTGATTTTAATAAACGGCGGGCACTGTATTTAAACTTGATGTATTATGGTAAGGATTTCTTAGATAGTTTGCATATGTCGAGGGAGTATTGTGTATGTTAGGTATTTCAGTCAAAAAAATTTCAGTCTTGGCCTTTTTTCCAACTTGCACCCATGGGGTACGCATGCCACTCTTTGGGAAACACTGATGTATACCATAACATGAATAATGCAAGTTCAATATTTTTTTCTCAAGTTAGTCTACCATATTAATTGTTTTGAGCTTTAAATCGAAATGAATACCCAGGTGGTCGTATTGGATCGCTAAATTTCCACTGCAGGTGTGAACACTAATCATGGTAGATATGATGGCAAAAGAATTAATAAATAGTGTTTAAAGGTTATTACTTTTTTACAGTCTATTGGAGAACCCTCTACTCAAATGACCCTCAATACTTTTCACTTTGCTGGAAAAGGTGAAATGAATGTGACTCTGGGTATTCCAAGGATGCGAGAAATCCTCATGACTGCAAGTCCCAATATTGCCACACCAACTATGGATTTACCTCTACTGGATAAACCAGGAATTGAAAAGGCTGCAGAGAAACTCAAAGTCAAATTATCTCCTGTACCACTGAAAGATGTAAGTTCTCTCACCTTAACAAGAAGGAAAAAAAAAATTTAAATTACTGTAGGTAGTCAGTTTTTAAAAATATTAAGATAATACTACAAGTTATAAGCTATTTAGTTTAAAACTTGTGCAAAGGATTCAATCTTGGGATTGATGATGGAAAAAAATCTTGAAATCAATTTGAAAACTTAAAAATAAAGACTGATATTTTATGTGAAAATAATTATTTTACTATTTATCATATTGACAACAACATATGTTTATGCCGCCCAAATTAAATTAATTTAGCCTTGAGTTTTAATATGTTTTATTTTATTAAATATGTTTTATTTTATTGAATAAGTTTTATTTTATTAAATATTTTCTGTTAACTGCGAAAAAGCAACAACAACAACAACAAAAAACTTCCCTGCTTTGGAAAAAATCTTTAATGCAGGTGTTGAGAAAAAAGAAATTTAACCACATATAAAAAGCTGTTGTTTTTTTAACTGACATTTGTATGAAAATAATTATTTTACTATAACTTTTCTTTCCTGGCCTTTGAAACAATCTTTAAAACAGGTTGACAAAAAACAATTTCTAAACACTTTTAAAAAGGTAAAGCTTTTAAAAGGATTTCCCAAAATTAAATGAGTTTGGAAATATATTTTTGACAATAGGTAAGCTAAAGTGTAATGAGAAATAAAGTTTGTTTGTAAGGATATCTAATCTCTCTTTGTTGATGCAAACTATTTTTAATTTAAGAAATTAGAGTACTATCTAAATAGGGCTGTAATTTTATTTTGGATTGTGCTATAGTTTTGAAATTGGATATCAACTTTTTGGGATCTCATCTTTCCTGTTTAAAAAATATTAGTGCATAATCCAATTTTGTAGTTTATAGCCTAAACAAAATAATAATAATTTACTCCATTGTTTTAATTTTTTCTTCTATTTATATGATATTAGTATTCAACAAATTGTCTTTTTATTACAGGTTCTAGAGTCTGTGAAAATAAAAGAACAGATATCTATATCAAAAACCATGTAAGTGTTATAGCAAAATATCTTAGTAAAATTTACTTTTTAGTGTACAGTTTGACTGTTTAGTGTCAATGGACAGAATTCTATTTTCCAGTTAATATTGATTTTTCAGTTTGCTTATTAAGTTTTCAAAAAATGGAAAAAAAATAAAGCTTTTTTTCTTCTTTTTTTGCCTTAAAAATTTTTTTTTAAATATTTTTCGTTAATAAAGAAATAAATCCTTTTTATGAAATTGTCGTTTTTTATAATCAGCAAAATGATTAAATAATGTTGTCACTCTACAATGAAAAAAATGGGGGTGGTTGAATTTCGACATCTGCTTCTATAAATTAAATTTGTGTTGTTGAATCTAAAGGTGCATTAGAAAGCCCCAACGTTTTGAAGTGCTGGTCAAGTTAAATTACGATTACTTTTTTTAAAAAAATTAAATTTATAAATCTAAAACAATAAATGAAATTTTTTTTATTTATTTATTTTTTATTAAAAAGTAATCAAGTTATTGATATTTGGGGACATTCTCAAAGAAAGTGAGCAATAAATTTGTGAAAAACAAAAATTATATTTAATATGTTATATACAATTAATTTTAAATTTTCTAGCATGTTTTATTACCTATAAAGATTTTTTTAGAAACAATACTTTAAAGTACATTTGGAAAAAAAAATATGAAGAGTAAGAAAAGCTAAGCTATTTTATTCTAGAGTATTTTAAAAAATAAAACACAGTGAAAACTTTGAAAACATACCATAAAGTTACAAATGTAAAATTTTCAGAACATCATCTGTGTAGGATTGAATAGCTCTTGCTCTGTTAGAGATCCTACTCAGCTTCATTTTTATCTGCTGAGTCCCATAAAAAATTTTCTTTGTGTTGAAATTCCACATTTGTAGAAGATTTATTAATAAAACTCATATTTGGTTTATATCAGTGTTCGACTTATACCTCCAATTTACCAGAATTTTGCAATCTAAAGGTGAATTTTGCAATCAAAAATAGTAGTTTTACTACGGAATATGTGGTAATTATCATTGTTTAAAAATTTAATTATTACATTTTTTAATACAATTCTTTATCCATTTTTAACTGTATGTTAAAACATCCTTAAAACCATAAAATTTATTATTATTTTTTTTAGTTTATTTACTTTTTTTAGTTGGTGGATCTTGAATAATACTCTTAAATTCTATTTAATTTTTGTTTCTCTCAGGGCTCGAAAAACCGCCCGTCCTCGGTGGTCACAAATTCTCCGTGGACAACGAATTTCTCGAATCTGACGTCCGCACGGACAGCCTTTTTCCCTTTAATGTTCGTGATACGTTTTCAATTTTTGCTATCTTTCAAGAGTCTAGTGCCTCATACACACTACAGCAACATACTGCGCATGGTGGAATTTATGTTTTCTCGGTCTGGGAGTACTGCAGCGGTTGAAAGGGGCTTTTCAGCAATGAACTTGCAAAAAAAAAAAAAAAACATTATGTACTGGTCTTGAACAAGAAACGTTACACACAATTATGAACATCTACCTAAATGGAAAATCCCTTTCAGATTTCCGTGCTGAAACCTCTGTAAATTATTGGCTTGATTGTGGAACTGGCAAACGTCATATTTGATTCATTTAAATTATTTCATAAAAGAAATAAATTATTTCATAAAAGAAATACTAGGTTATTATTAGTAGCCTAGTATTTCTTTTATTACTGTATAATGTAATCCTAGTAACTACTTATTCATTGTGCAATTTATATAAATGTTTGTGATAAATAAGAGAAAATAAAATTTTTATTTATTTAAAAAGCTACGGGTTAGTTTCAAAGGAGGACGGGTACATTGTTAGACAAGCCGTCCTCGGGGACGGGTAAAATTTCTGAGTTCTTTCGAGCCCTGGTTTCTTTTCATTTTATTTATTTATATTTTAAAAATAATAAGTGCTAAATGTTTGGGTGAAATCTTGTATTTACTTATTAACTATATTTATCTTCATTTTTCTTGCAGGATGAGTTTCAGAAACTATTATATTAAAATAAAATTTTTGAAGTATTCTGACTATAAAGGACTAATTAACACGAATCCAAATAAAAATTTGAAGTACATTGAGAAGACCTTCATCAAAAAATTGTTGGAAGCTATAAAAAAGAAAATGAAGCAGTCAGCGACATCTAAGTAAGTGTTTCCTATTTTATAATTTAATTCTTACGCGTGTTAAAAATGTATCTAGTAAAATTATGAAACAAACTATGTACTAACAGTTAAGTCACACATGTCAAGGGGCAGCTAGAGTTGTTGCGAATTTAATTTTCACTTTAAAAAAATGAAATGTTTTATTTGTTGATATTAGGTGATAACATTCAATTCTTCAACAAAAAAGGTATCTATACACACTAGCATGGTGCATGGCATTATTTAAAGTGCTTAAAGGTGCTTATTTTGGATTTTTAAAAATCCTTAAAGGTGCTTTTTTTCATTGGGTGTTTTTGAAAAGTGCTTAATTTTCCCTTTTCGAAAGTGAGATTTTTTTTTTCTTACCATGTCCATAGCTTATGAAAGCGCCAATCATTTTACATGTTTGATAAAATACTTGCAAATCCGCATTTGTATCTATTGTGCTGGATTTGGTAAGATTATTACTCTCTCGTGTGCAAATCTGTTGCATTTTGCAAGATATTCTCAATTTCAGGCTTCATTTGATCTGATATCGAATCGAAAAATCTCTTGATCTTTTTGTAATGTCTAAGATAATCTAGAAAAAATTTCTTTGTCAGAAACTAGTTATTTTATCATGACAGGGTCCTTATACTCCTTGGAAATAAAAAAGTCTCCAAGGAGTACTTGGAACTACTCAGTGGCGTACCTAGAACTTTTGCCGCCCGGGGCGATCTCCAGTTTGCCGCCCTNTCCGCTGATGAATTTGCTGTCCAAGCTGGGAAACTAAATGATATGCAGTGGTGCAAGTGCTGCGCCGATCCACACCAATTGTGGAAACCTGCTCCTACAAGCTCCAAATTGAAGTAGTTGGCTTAAATTGCGCCAAAAAGGATATTTTCTCCTGAGTATCGCAAAGTCACAATTTTGCGGCAACCTAGGTAGTGCCATGTGGGTTGCTCTGGATTCAATGGGAAGGATTCTTGCACTCTCATGTGCAACTCTGATTTGTTTTTCAAGATATTCTCAATTTCAGGCTTCATTTTCCACTTTCTGAAATAGAACCAAAACTTCTCTCGAATTTTCGGGGACCAACTAAACATTGCCAAATTTTAATAGCAAAAGAAAATTTTATTTCTCTTGTTAATTTCAAAGTTATTGAAGTGCTATCGACTTCGTCGATAGCAAGCTAATGGCCTTCTTGCACTATTCTATTTATAAATTAGTACCATGATCTTTGAATTAACTTGAGGACCATTCACTAAACACATATTTTCATGTTGATCCTCAGAGCAGTCAAGAATCACAAAGCTTCATAACCTCAAAATTTCCATCTCCTCTTTATTCATTTAATTCAATAAGGATAAAAATTGAGTTTCTTAAACTTAATTTTTTTTATCTGAGGGACCATCCACTAATTGCACATTGTTTTTAAACATTGATTTTACTTTATTGATTTTTTTTAAAATATTTTTTTTTTACTTATTGCATTTTATTATTGTATTATTACTTTCAAAATTTTCGGTGCTCTTAATTTGTTTTTGGAAAAAACTTAATATTTAGAGGCAAGCATGAAGAGAGGGGCTTTCAATATTTTAAATGCATCAAAAAATCTTATGTTTTTCAGATTTGTCATTCAAAAATACTTTAATTCATCTCTTTTAAAATATGATCTTTGATTTAAAACAATCAATATAAAAAATTTTAATTATCACAGATTTGTGAAATATTATGATTGTAGGGACAATATAATAATTTACTTCTAAGAATTTTTTTTAGCTACATTACTCATTGTATTTGCATTTAAAAATTATTTAATTTTTTTTAATTATTTTATTAATGAAATTCTGTACTAGGTAACCAATTTTAATAAAAATCTATTAGGGGCCATTCACTAATTTACATTTGTAATAAAAATCTATTAGGGGCCATTCACTAATTTACATTTGTAATAAAACTTTGCTTAATTCTTTACATATTTTTATGAATTTAGTATGATCAATATTAATCTTGTTAATGTTTTGTTGAATATGCTATTACAAATAACATTTATTAAATATTTAAGANGTAATAAAAATCTATTAGGGGCCATTCACTAATTTACATTTGTAATAAAAATCTATTAGGGGCCATTCACTAATTTACATTTGTAATAAAACTTTGCTTAATTCTTTACATATTTTTATGAATTCAGTATGATCAATATTAATTTTGTTAATGTTTTGTTGAATATGCTATTACAAATAACATTTATTAAATTTTTAAGAAAAATACACTCGATAATCTAAAATAATAGTTAAATTAATTACAGTTTTGAATTGCCTTTTACAGAATTAAATAAAGTAATTATTAATTTCGAAAATAGTATGAGCCACTCAATCTTGAATTTATTTAAATAGCTTTTGACAAAAGCTCTTTTTTTTTAAGAAATATTTTGGCTATATTAAAAAAATTTTTGGGTCTTTTCAAAACTGAGACACCATTGATTCACTTGCTATATGATGAAATGGTGTCTCTAGGTAAAGCATTGTTAGGGCATTTTTTAAAGATTTCTGCTTTTCTTAGTTTGTCCAGAAAGGACTTAAAATCATTGGATGTAGAGAGCTCAGAAAGTTGGCAAAAATCAAATTTAATAGATGTTGGACTAGATACCACAAAGGCGATGACATCTTTATCTTCTTCAGAAAAAAAATCTATGTATTTAGGTGCCAGATCTTTTTACTTGGCATGCACAAAAAAATTATTGAAAGCATTGCCTCTTCAAAATAGGTTACTGTACCATCTTGAAATGTTGCATCCTGTAATGAGAATGGAAGGCACTTATATTAAGGCATCTTTGTTACTAGATAAATGGACGAGGTTACGTAGAAAACCAGAAGGTTATTCTTCTGACTCAAATGAATATGCACCAATTGATGTGTTTTGGAAAAACTATTTTGTGAAGAAAGATAATTTGAGAAATATCAAATATCCTCTTTTAACAAAGCTTTTTAAATCTCTTGTGCATACCACATGGGAATGCCGACGTTGAAAGAAGTTTAGTGTGAACAAAAAGCTGCTTGACAATAGGGCAACTTTAAATTTGCATAGTATTAATGGTTTGAGACAAGTTGTGCCTTATATCAACAAAATCGGGGGTTTAAATAACTTTAAAATTGACNATGTGTTTTGGAAAAACTATTTTGTGAAGAAAGATAATATAGATTGGGAAATATCAAATATCCTCTTTTAACAAAGCTTTTTAAATCTCTTTTGTGCATACCACATGGGAATGTCGACGTTGAAAGAAGTTTAGTGTGAACAAAAAGCTGCTTGACATTAGGGCAACTTTAAATTTGCATAGTATTAATGGTTTGGGACAAGTTGTGCCTTATATCAACAAAATCGGGGGTTTAAATAACTTTAAAATTGACAAAGATGTGATTAAAGTGGCTCATACAGCATTTAAAAATTATTCTGCTCGGTTAGAGGTTGAGAAAAAAAAATTTGAAAACACTGAAACTGAGGAAAGCAGATTGAAAGCTGCTGAAATTGATTTGCAAAAAAAATTGAAGGCTTCTCAGGATCTCATAGCCACAGCTGAAAGAAATATTAAAGATGGGTTGAACAATAAAGACATGTTGATTATAGAAAGCGGACAGATCCTCTTATCTGAGGATAGCAGAATATTTAACAGCATTGGAAGATACCAAATAGAAGCTTAAATTGTTAATGCAGGGACCTTCATAAAAATGAAAAAAATAAGACATGAACAAAATTAAAAATTCTTGTTTTAATTCTTTTTATTAAATATGCTCCAAAATTGCTTTTTCGTTGCTCCAAAGCCATGTTTAGCCACTTAGACCACTGGATATGACTTAGCTGTCAAAATCTAGTAGTTTAAGAAAAACTTTAAAAAGAATAAAAATTGAATTGCAAGATTTAGAAGAAGAAAAATAACAGCAAATAATTTTACATGTTATAAGCAAACATAATTAATAATTTGCTGTGTTTTTTTTTTTTTTTTTTNTTTTTTTTTTTTTTTTTTTTTTTTTTTTGCATATAAAATGCCTTAAATTTTCTTATGTATTCTAATTTAAAAATATATGATTGGTAGGTTTTTCTATCAATCCTTAACATCTGTACTTTAACAAGATTTTTTAAAATATTTGAATATGGAAAATATATTTATGTGTAAAGGTGATAATTTAGTTTTCTCCACGAAGTTTGACAAAGTCAAAATTTATTTCAAAAGGGATAGAAAAAAAATTCAAAATATACATTTTTGCAAGTTCCTTATAATAACTGCTTTTTAATTTAAAAAAAAACTATCTTTTACACAAAGTTTTAGAATTTTTGATAAGTCCTTAAAATTTTGAACTCCTTGGATACTCCTTGGATTTCTTCTTCTGATCTCTGTATGAACCCTGAATTCGATTTTTAAAAAATTTCTTAAAATTCCAGAGTTGTAGATGCTATGAAAGAAGGTCGAAGTTTTATTAAATCTGAACCTCAGGGTGAAGGTGATGATGACAATCCTCCCCCATCTCAAATGGAATCTTCCGCTCCTGATGAAGGAGAAAGTTCAGCAGAAAGTGAAGATGAAGGAGATACAACCTCATCCAAAACAAAAATGAGACACAATCAGGAACAAGAGTATGAAGATCCTGAAGATGAAGAAATGCTCCCTGAATCTGGTATGGTTTAAAGTCATGCATATTTGTATTGTTATAAAGAGTATACGAGAATTTATATTTTGTTAAAATAATCTGTTAAATAACAGTGGTCAGTTGGTCTGGGACTACTAAAATTACACTAAGACCACTTTAAAATAATTATCATTGGTTCAATAGACTAGCAGACAATGTAAGAGATAGTATGCTGTTACTCTGTGTCTTATTGTGAAATACCATATTTCATCCTATTCATTTAAACATACATGCAGGGTATCCGCACACCCATGGGTGCAAGTCTTCCGTCCCCAGGACGGATTTCCGTCTTTCGACAATGTTCGCGGACGGAAGTAAGATGGAAACAAGACTGACTCGAAGACGGAAATCGGAATTTTTTTTTCTTCTGTCCTTAAAATTATTTTTTAGGTCTACGTTATTGGTCTACTTTCTTATGTCCTGTTGTTATTTTATCAAAACACAGATGAATAATTATTTTTTGTACAGTACTTAAACTTGATGTATTATGGTAAAGCTTTCTTAGATAGTTTGCATATGTCAAGGGGGTATTGTGTATGTTAGGTATTTCAGTCCAAAAATTTTCAGTCTTGGCCTTTTTTCCAACTTGCACCCATGCGCACACCTGCAANTCAATAGACTAGCAGACAATGTAAGAGATAGTATGCTGTTACTCTTGTCTTATTGTGAAATACCATATTTCATCCTATTCATTTAAACATACATGCAGGGTATCCGCACACCTGCAAAGTCATGGATTTAGGTCGTCGAAAAATCTAATTTTTTAAATGGAAACCCCCTCCCCCAATTTCATGGTGATCAAAATATCTGAATTTCTAATAAAATCTCCACTGACAGTCATATTTTATTAAAATATAAAATATTTTTATCATGTTCTTTAAAAATTTTGGTGTACTTTAAATAAAGGAAAGAAAAAACATCATTTCTGAAGCGGATTATCTTTTAAACTTCTGTGATTACAGAATTTTTAGTATTTATTTTATTTTATAAATATAAAATTCTAGCTGAAGCAAGTTAGTCATTGGCGAATTTTTTTAATTCTGAAATGAGAATCGAAAAATCAGGAGTATCTTTCCTTTCCATTGAACAAGAAAAGTATCTTTAGGATATAGTTCTACAGAAAAATATTCTCTTTCTTTACTCTGATTTTTAAATTTAAAATCTATAAATGTGAAGATACTGAATATAACAGTTTAAGTTAAACCTATCATTGCGATTAATGTTATTATAATGCTTTTTTAAATTTATTGTTGTGTTTTTGGCAGAGAAGAGGTTGTGGGAATGAGCGGACCTTGTACCTTCTTGATTCAGAAAATATTTTACTGGTGACTATTTTTGCTGTGTTTCGGCGAATTTTTTTCTATGAACTCAAGAATAGAACTGTACATAAATTTGTTTATAGAATTATTTAATCCATAGTTTTGCCTTTCGAAACATACCAAAATCATTACAATGTTAAGCATTATTTCATTACAACATTATCATTCATATTCATTAACAGCATATTACAGTAAAAATTTTCGACAATGTAATTTTTTTATTTAAATTGTAAATTCACCTAATTAACTTTTTTAAAATAATGAACATGCATATGGATTGGTGAAAATGTGTATTGGCAGGTAATATATTTTAATTACCAGTGACAAATTTTACTTAATTTCAATGTATTAAAAAAAATTAATAAATTAATTAATGCTACTTCTTATGGTTTTGAAATAAATTTTCAATACTTGATCTTCTTCCAAAATAGTATGGAAAAGGACTGTAGTAATTGTTTCTTCACCTACCTCATTAAGGCTATTTTTTGTTGCCACATTATTGTGCTATTTTTATAACTGTTGTCTGTTTTTATAACTGTTTGTGACTCTTTAGGCAGTTTGTTATTATAATTATAAAAATGGTGGAAATGTCAAAATCTGAATTTTGCAAAAATTAAAAGCATTTTCGATAAAAAATTTTAACATTTTGAAAAGTTACATTACAGTTTGCATTATTCATTCATTTTTCGTACTTTATATAAATTTGATTCTTTATTAGTTTTATATTTTATTAATAAGTAATTGTGTTAATCTTTAAAGAGGAAAATACTTCCAATAATTGTTACTTTATTGAAATACACGCATAATTCTTTTACAAAACAAAAATAATTCAAATTTCCCATATAAACATTCCTAGAGACATTTCTTTAAAATTGAAAAAGCAAAATTCTACATAAGCAAACAAAAAATATCACAGAACAATTATCTTTTTAGCATTTCCTTAATTTAAAATTTTATCATACTTAGTATCATTTGGAGTCCAATAAGCAATGGTAATTCTATGCAGCCATACTTTCCTTCGTTCTTTATTGTGATCTCCGACAAATAAGCAATATAATTTAAAGCCAAAATTTTGACTTATTAAAACACCTGAATGTGCAACAACCTGCTGTCATCATTGATTAAAAATTATGATACAAATAAAGTAAGAAGAAAAGCAAAAATATAAATTAGAAATCGAGTGCAATGATACTTCATTGTTAAAACTAATAATCAAAATGGCCACCATTTGCCCCGTGTTTCGCGATAGCCAAAATTGAAATCGACACAAAGGTCGCAAGGAAAAGAGGGATGCTACTAAACTAGATCATCTAGGGCTCTACTAATCCCTACTGATTCAACTATATAGAATTTTTTTTTTTTCAATTTTTAGCTGCAATTTTAATGAAATACTTGGATTTTTATTTGTTTATAAAAAGGGTTCAAATGCTTCCAGTAATAAAATATGTTAAATTATTTTTGTTTTTCTTTCAGATGAAGAGGAGAATGAAACTGGAGCAGTTAAAATTAAACAAGAAATACTGTCAGACGAAGAAGAAGAAGGAGAAAAACTTGAAGAAGAAAGTGTTCCGGGTAGATCTGAAAATCTGAATACTTCAACTTTTAATGAAGATCATGCTCAACGCATAAATGTGAGTATGCAATGTTATTAAGGGCATTCTGTGTTAAAAGAAATAAAATGCTATGTAGTCACAATATTTAATCAGCTTAGCCAATTTTAAGAACTTTCCTTTTCCCCCCAGTTGTAATAAAACTTTGTGTACATATGATCTACACATGTATCAGTTATATTTTTTAAGTTTCAGTCTAAATAAAATTTAGAAATATTTTTAAAATTTCAGTGGAAGAAATCAAGCACAAAAACATACTTTAACTGAATAAACATGGCTTTCTTTGCATGGATTTAATTTGTTAACTCTCATTGCTGTAATTAAAAAGTCCAGGTAGACCTCCAATATTTAAGTTTAAATTTTTTTTTAATAATATGTGTTTAGTTTAACATTCCTTTATGGTAAATTAGTGTAATTCTGTTTCCATAATGTATTGAAATGTTTTAAAAAAATTATAGGGATATTTGTTTTGTTCCAATTACAATGAATCTGCCTCCTTTATTTTATTACAATAAAGTTCAGAGAAATAATTTCTTATTTAAAAAAATCTATCATAAAAATTAGTTCAATTTGGAAGCTTGAAGTTACTACACTGGTTCCATATCTCTATTTGTAAACTTAAATGTGTAAAAAATCCTTATTATTTTGATTACTGTCATATTTTTTGCTTGTTCACAATGGTTGCTTTTTGTTGCATACATCAATTTATTATTAATATTAACAAATATTAATCCCAAAAATTTAAAGCAGAACAACTTCATAATTGAGTGAACAACTTTTGAAACTTAATTTGTAAGATTTATTTCTCTAGTTTAAATATTCAGTTTTCAAAGAGCATAATTTAAATAAATCATAAGTTTTATGAGGATAGGTTGTTTTTATTTATTTAATTTATGTTTATTTATTTATTTCAGTTTGTTAAATGTCTCCATAGCTATGTTTTTGACTATGAGTTTGATACTGAATTTGAGAGATGGTGTAAAATCACACTCCAAGTAAGTAGTCAAAATATTTAATTAAATGTTGTATTAAATATTATTGAAAACTATTTTATTTAAAATTGTAAATTATGAGAGAAATTATCGAATTTTTTTCTGTCTGTATAATCATAAGTACCAGATCTTTTTGTTTTAAGACTCCTTTATATCTGTGCTATCTATTGAGTTATTGGAGAAATTTCACATTGAATGCTTTATATAATGCTTATTTTTAAAAAAAATTTGTAGGCTAAAAAGTACGAAAAATAGTTTGACTTTTATACCTTTTAAAGCCAACTATATTCTGTCTGCTATTTGAGATACTTACTATTTAGGTGCACATATACGTTTCCAGATATCAAAAATCATAGAGAACATACAAAGCAAATATGTAGAAAGTAATTCTTTAAATTAAATATGGTAGCTATAACATAGTCATACATAAAATAGTATATAACGCGGAATTAATCGGAAATAATAATAATAAAAGAAACATTTATTTTCTGACTGATTTATAAAAAAAATTAGCTTGTATATTTTTGCATTAATTGTGATACTGTTACAAACAACTAACCAGATATGAAAGAAACTTTAAAAAATACACAAAAAAAAACTTCAAGTTTAATGGAGTAACTTTGAAGTACTCAAATGTGTTTTCCACATGTATAAGTACCTTCATTTTTTTTTAAAGTAAAGCCATTGCACTTTAGTTTGATTTTATTTCATACCTTGTAAAGATATATTATAAAATGTATAATTTGTGATACTATTCACTAACTTAGGAACCTTACTGAGTTTTTAAGAAATTCAAACATAGAACATGCTTGTTCAAAGTGCATCTTGTAATTTAACATAGTAACTATTGAGTAACAAGCCTTTTGAACTTAGATTAATGCTTCTATTAATTAAAAGACAAATAAAACTATTGTTCTGTTGTCTGATTTTAATTACTTGAAATATTTTTTCTAGCTTCAATTAGAAGGCAGTAAAATTGATATGAAATCTGTTTTTGAAGAAGAAGTGAGCAAAGCGTACGTTTATGCAATTCCAAACATCAAAGAAGCCATCTTAGTTAAAAATCCTGATGCTAAAGATGGTGGCCCTAAACTAATGCTTAAAACTAGTGGTGTAAACTTTTTGGTAAGTCTTATCCTTTTTATAAGTGTGTCTACACTTGTTGCAAAAAAAAAACTATTTACAGAGGTGATTGTGCTCCATAAAAAATCCGGATATCCGGATTTTTTCCTAATCGCCCTAGAAGTTTCCGGAAATCCTGGGTCCAGAAGTTTCAAGAAATCTTCGATCACATTTATGTATAAAAATTCTTGTATATTTTATTTAAAAATATTAGAACTAGAATTTATACTTGGCATCTTTCATTTGTAAATATTTTTTCAGGTAGAATAATAAATGTGATTAAAGTAAACTTACGCATAATTATTCATTTAAATTATGCTGTATATAATTTATTTAGAATTTAATGTTTTGAAAATGTCAATGATTTAAATTTATAAAGACATTAATTCTCTGAAATGCGTCATTTATGATTTTACTGAAGAAATTTTCGGGATTTTTGAGTTGAACTCACAATCACCCTTGTATTTATACTAAGAATATACAATTAGTAATTGATTTTAGGAAGTAACATAAAAATAGGAAGAAATTGTATGTTGCTTAGTCTAAAGAAATTTTAAAGCTTTAGTTAAAAAATTACATTCCCTAATATTTGTTTACCAATATGTAAAGTCTTAAAGGCACAATGTTGCAAGGAAAAACAAGAAGAACACATTTTATTTTAACTGAATTACTATTTATTAAGGATTGCTATATATATTATGATAGAAATAAACAAGTAAGCACACAGAAAACTTGACTTTGAAAATCAATTATATGAGCAAACAATGATGTCAAAGCATCTTAGATTTGTATGCAAAATATAGCTGTGGCACGAATCAAATTTCAACACACTGGACATTTTACTTATTTATATATTTTTTTATTTATTATTTGTTACAAAAAGCATTCTTTATACCCTGTGTCAAAACTGTAAGCAGTTATTGTCTACTGATTGATTAAAACAATGCTTTTTATTTGATTTGTGATCTTTGTGATCCAGAAATTCAAGAAACAAAGGCCTTGAATTTTTTTTTTTTTTTTGCAGTTTAATCACGAAAGATTACTTCCAACCTATGGGAACTAATTTTTTTTAATTTGTAGTTAGTATCTCGGTTTAATAAGTTATTCAATAAGTTGTCAAAAATTAAATAGCTTTTTTTTTAATACACAAGTAAATGATTTTTGATCATTTCATTTAAAAAGAACAGTTTTTATTTCATTTATTGACTGTATTTAGTTATCTCTAGCACCTCCTTGTAGCTTAGGTAGTCTATTTCTGTCCTCGAGGAGAAGGAGAGGTATTGTTATTACTGCAGTTGTAGGTTTCTTTAGTTTTTTGGAAAGATTCCTCTTGCCTAAAATGATCTCGGTTTTCTTGCTGATGACTCCTGTTTATGTATTTTAACAAGATTAGCTTCATTATAATTCAGTTTTTAATGCATTTTGTTTTTAAAATAACCTAAATTTATCAAATTTAAATATTTGTTTTTAAAAAATTTTATGAATATATTTTTTTTTCTTCTAGGAAATTTTTAAGCATGTTGATGTTTTGGATATTAATAAAATTTATAGCAATAATATCCACGCTATTGCTGATATTTATGGCATTGAAGCTGCATCTAAAGTGATACATAAGGTAATCTATATAAAATACATATTATTTTGATGTTGCAAAAAGTAAAAGCTATTTTTAATATAAATAAAGGATCTTATATAAACATTTTTATTTTATTATTACAATTGGTTATAATTCATATTTACAACAACTAGTTTATTATGCATTTTATTATCTTGCTTATCTAATGCCTCCGATATCTTTCTTTGTAAAGGAAATTTATGTTTATTAAAAGACTAAAAGACAATTGTTGTGATTTTCAACATAAATTTTTAAAAGAATTTTTTTTTAAAATATTATATAAATAAATTTAGTTAGAAAAATCATATTTATATTAAGAACAAGCTATGTTTTGCTTGCTCAGCTTAGTCATTTTATAAAGCAAAGTTAATTTTAAAATGCATTAAAAATAATATTGATAAAAATCAGACAAAATTTGTTTTTCTTTTTTTTTTTTTCAATGGTAATTGTTGGAGATTTAAAGTAATAAAAAAATTGTTTGGCTTTAAAGATATTATTTTTCTTTTTCTTACGTTTTATGTGAAAAGCATATTGTTTGCCTAAAAGTAGTGTTCTTCCCCTTTCTTTAGAAATGATGCCGTCAAATTTGCATCATTGTGCTATTTCAATATTTTTTGTTCAAATTCATTTACATGCCTGAGTTTATTGGTATAATTTCTTTCTTTTGGATTGCAAGAAATATTTGTGAGACATTTATGTTCAATAAGCAGCAATTAAGTTAAAACATTATTTTTTGGTTTTGTATGATTATTTAAATCTTATTTATTTAAAGGAAATTGTCAATGTGTTTGCTACATATGGAATTACGGTAGATCCAAGACATCTATCTCTAGTTGCAGACTATATGACTAGTAGTGGTAAATATCGCCCCTGTAATCGAGTTGGCATGGAGGGTAATGCCTCTCCACTCCTACAAATGAGTTTTGAAACTACAACCAATTTCATGGTTGACGCCATGCTGAATGGTAAGTTATATTCAAATTTATGTCTTATCTATAAAGTTGAAATTCAGTAATTTCTAAAATAATATCTTACAAAAATGTTGAATTGATAGTGTTGTGATAAGTGTAAGAATATAATAAATATTCTATAAACTTTTATATGCTTTGAAATTTTTTTTAACCGTATTTTAGGTTCTTTTAAGATAACTTTAGTATAATTTTAATATTTTTATTCAATTTATTACATAGTTAAATGTGTTGGTATTTATGTGACTTTTCTCTTGTGCATTGAAACCTCTATTTGTAACCAATTTTGGGAGGCCCAGAATTTTTTTCGTAGACTGTGTGTTACAAAAAACCTTTAGAAGAGACCATCAAAACCTTCCCAGCAACTGTGCAAGCTTCTGTGAGAAAGGTCAAATAAGGAAACACAAAAAAATATTAACAAAACAATTAAGTTCTAGTTCATTTACGTCACACTAGAGCTGCACACTGGACTATTGGCAAGAGTCTGGGAAACATCCCTAAGGATGATCCGAAAACATGCCATCACAATTTTGATCCTTTGCAGAGGGGATGGCACCCCTGCTTCGGTAGCTCAACGACCGGCACTCGAAGTCGAGCGCTTTACGATAGAACAGTATAACGAGAACCGATACTGCACACCTTCGGTCCCTATGTAGACTAATCCAAGTGGTCACCCACCCGCACATTGACCACAGCCAGTGATGCTTGACTACGGTGATCTGCTGGGAACCATGTCTTAAAGATCAGTCCACTGCGGGGCAAGTAGATTCAAAATGTTTGTGAAGGCTCTTATTTAGAGAGTACTTTTTGACGATCTCTAAAAGAAATCAGCAACCTCATGTTGCAGTCAAGAGTGCACTAAAGACGATGCTATCGACGATTTATTTTTAGAGTTGAAATTAAATTTTAAATATATATTTATTTAGAAAAACTAAGCATCTGAAACAGAGAACCCTCTTCTCATTTTTTAAAGCTAACAAATTTTTTGAACATAAAACTGAATGCAAACTTAATGGAAAACACAATTGTTTATTTATAATAGTTCTTTCATTCATAATTGGTAAATTTGTTTTTGAACATAATATATCAGTAAAGGTCATTTTTATTGCCTCTAAATTTTATTCATCTATTCAGTTTGCTATCAGCAATGGTTTTTATTATTTTGCTTAACAAACTTGTTTCTTATTTTATTTTTTAAGGGGTGCAAGACAGGCTTCAATCACCATCAGCTACCATTTCTTTAGGACAACTCTTCAAAGCTGGAACGGGTGCCTTTGATTTAAAGATAAAATACAAATGTGAAAAGTGAGATTTTCTTGCAGTGCCAGTGAAAAAAAAACACTTTTATTTCTGACCAAAGACATTATAATATGTGCTATTTATATTGTTTTGAGAACATTTTTGTACCAGTGCACACTATAAAATAAAGCATGTATGACAAGTGAATGTGTTTCATGTGCATTTCCAGTTTTCAATCAGTTATTTTTTTGTATTGATCAGAAAAATTGTAAATAAAATTATATTATATTTTGTCTCATATTTTTACTAAAATTTTCATTTATTTATTATGTGAATTGAATTTAAGTACCATTATTAGCATGTTATAAAATAGCTAATGAACATTCAAATTCTCTTCATTTCTTTTTAATTTTCTTAGAAGAATTACAAAAAAAAAGAAAAAACATTTTATCCAAACATCAAAACTTATTCATAGTGACATCAGAGCTAAATATGGATCAGTTTTAGAATTGTATATTATTTACACACACAAATCACAGAGATATGTTTTGCAGAATAAACCCTTTTAACTGAATTTCTTAAATTCTGATTAATACCTTGCATCATTTTATAAAATATTTTTTTAGTTTACTAATTTTAAAATGACAATGTATTTGTAATTATAAACATTATGAAAGATTTAAACCATTCTCAAAAAAATAAAACTAATTAAGAAACAATTTTAAACAATAACATGCAATGAATTCATTTTAATGGATTTTTTTCTCTTAGTATAAAATATAAACTTTTTTTTCCCATTGAAACAAGACTAGTGTCTTAAATATAAATATTATAAAACTAAGGAAAATCATAATTAAATTTTCTAATAACATTTGTATTAATTAATTTTTGGTATTTTACCTAAGTGAATAAAACTGGAGTATTTTATATCTATAATTACATCATTAATTACTTTTATTAATTAAAAAATTATTTTCCTTTTTGTTATTTGCTTACCTGATCATCTTACTGATAATTCCCAATTGGTATTCCATTAAACTCTTTCAAGTTGTTTGCAAAGTAAATGCTTATTTTAAAATAGATCGCAGTTTATGTTTTCCTTCTTGGAAATTACATTTTTGCATAAAACGTTTTTTTGTACCTTGTGACAAATTTTACGAAGGAACTGAAATAACATTTGAAAATGTTCCTGTTTTTTCTCACAGCAAGTTTTTATTCTTTTTTTTTAGAAATACATAAAATGTCAGATTAAAATTAATATGCAGTGCCCACTAACTATGTATGAAAAAAGTACTTATTATAAATATACATTTTGTGCATAATTGTGTTTTCTTAGCATTTATTCTTTTTATTGCATTCATTCTTCAAACAAAAAAAAATGCTCTTGAAGACACTCTTCAGGGGAAAAAAATAGGCTCTTCCTAGCAAAATATGCTATAAGCCAAAAAAAAGGACCATTTTTTCAGAACAAGGAGAATAAAAAATAATTGTTATTTTTTTAATAATAAAAAAAATATCTTTCCAAAATAAAGTTCTGCACCAGCATTTTTTGCAGAGAATTTCCAGCTCTGCTTGTGATGTCAATGTGACATAGAGTGTTACGTCAGGGCACAAGTTCCTGAACTCGGAGACGACTGATATCCTTGTGGAGTATTTTAGAAATGTTTGCTCATGAGAAAAATTTAAAAACACGTTATGAACGTTATCATTACGATAAATCTCTTTGTCCGGCAGTGGACTGATCGTTAAGACACGGTTCCCAGCAGATCACCGAAGTCAAGCATCACTGGCTACAGTCAGTGTGCGGGTGGGTGACCACTTGGATCAGCCTGCGTTGGGACCGAGGGTGTGCGGTATTGGTCCTCGTTAAACTGTTCTGCCCTAAAGTGCTCGACTTCGTGTGCAGGTTGTCGGGCAACCAACGCGGGGGTGCCATCCCCTCTGCAGAGGATCAAAATTGTGATGTCTTCGGATCATCCTCGGGGATGTTTCCCAGACTGTCGCCAATAGCCCATTGTGCAGCTCCAGTGTGACGTAAATGAACAACAACGATAAATCTCTTGGGCATTACTCAATAAATGAACGAAACATATTAAGATCGAAAAACAGATCATAAGCCTATGTCTATTTTTGTGTTAAATAAAATTTTCCAAATTGTTACCTAATTGTATTGTCTGTAATAGTAGCAGCTAAATCCAATTAATTTGTAATATGTGTAACAGTCAATTACATACATAAAATGCCATTGGCATAGCTTTTTAGCATTTTATGCAATTTTTTTTGTAGAATATTTTGATAGATTTAATAAAGAATCTGAAGTCGTATATTTTTTAAAACATTATTAGAAGTAGTTTTTAGTCTTATTTTTTAAGTTCTAAAACTTGTTTTAGTTGATGTTCTGAAAGACACATGGAAAGGAGAAAATTGAAGCGAGATTACTTTATATTGAACCATGAGTTTTTAAATACTGATTTTTTTTCTTTCTTTTATTAGTTATATTCCGGCAAGTCAATTTCATTTTCGTTTTTGAAACACTTAATATTTTAAAAATTGTAATTTTTTTTTGTCTTGTTTCATTTATGTTTTTCTGTTTTAACTAAAGCGAAGCATTTCCAATAGACTTAATCATTTTTAATAGACTTCACTATTGATATTTTTTTCTTGTATGGTAAAACAGATAATTGGTATCATATAAAAAGTGTGATTCTCAACTTTAAAGTCTTCAGAGTTGAGAAAACAAATTTCTGTTTTTATAAAAAAAAAAACTTTTATCATCATTTTTTAAACAGCGTTCCTAATGAACATTATTCTTTTATGGTGATTTTTGTAAAAATATAGCAATATAAAAAGTTAAAACTTTTAACATCAAATCTATTGTTTAAAAAGTAAGAATATTTTTTTTCCTCTGACTTGTAGCTTTTTCATATTCAAAAAAATTTTTATAGATGTTTTTGATGTAGCAATTAAGAGGTTCTCTATTAGACTTTAATCTTCACTTTTTTCATGAAAATACATCAATTGGGAAACTGAATTTAGCTTTAAAATTTTCTTTTAAAAATTAAGATTTTTATTTTTTTCTGTTTCACTTTTGTACATAATTTTTTTTATATAGGCGTTTTTATGATAGAGCTATATTTTAAAAAAAAGTGTTTTTTTCTTGCGTCGGACCTGATTGAAAACGAAGACCAAGACAGTTCAGGATATAATCGGCGGAAGCCCGGTGTAGCTGGCATTTAGGGCAGAGGGGGTAGGTTTTAGTTCCTTCAGAAAATTGGGAGAGGGTTGTGCAGACTCTCTTTTTAAAGGGAAAGGTCAAAGAAACTTCAGGTTTAAGTGTTTCTGACAGATATTATCTCTTTGTCATGTTTTATGGATATTTTTAAATATCATTTAGATTAGATCTAGATTAAATATCATTTTTTGTAATAAGAGTGAGAGGATATTTTTGTTTTTTATTTTTTAAAAAACTTTAGTTTATTATTATTTTTTTTAATAGCTGTTAGTCAGTTCTTTTCATCTTAAATATTTCAAATTATCTTAATGTCTAATTATTTTTAACGATTCTATTATAAATAATTTCCCTTTTCCCCATACCAATAATAGAGCTAAGTTTTGATTATTTTTGAATGACTAAACTTATTTTTATACAAAAAATATAAATTTATTAATGATTTTTTTGAAAAAAATTTTGCTATTCTGCCATTGAATTTTTGGTATCCAGCCGATTTTTTGGCCAAATATTCCACTTTGGCTAAATCACTATTTATAAAAAAGGTTAACACATCTTAAGAATAATTGCTAACAAACAATAGGTAGAGAGGTAAATTAGAACTCTCTTACAAATTTACATCTTTAAAACAAAAACAGTTTTTACAAAACTTACTATATTTTAAAAAGTTAAATATTGAAAAACATTTAACTATTGTCTCTTAAATAGTGAAACAATTTGATTTAGAATAAATTTAATTCAGTGCAATGGAAAGAAAAGCTTGTTGGAATGATCCTGGGCTGAAGTGCCAAGAAAAATATATATATAATTTGTTCAAATTCATAATTAGGAAGTTTTATAAAACTTTAACTGCTAAATTTGAAAATGTGAATACTGAATTTCGTTCAGTATTAAATCAATGTATTTTGACTACCGGTGACAATTGCTAAACTGCTAGATTTGAAGGGGGGAAGAATATTTAAAACATATCAAACTAATTTGCACAACTAGAGTTATTAGCATATTAAACCTTTAATTCATTCTATGCCTGATACAAATTGTTTAAACATAAATGCTGTGATGAGACAAATTTTCAAATTATACACCTCTACTTCATATTTAACAAAACATCACTTTATTCGAAATACGAGATAAATCTGGCACATTAACACTGGATCCATGCTTTTAACTTCATTAGTTTTTAGTTTTATTTACATTGTTTAAAGATGAAGCTTCACGCCGCAGATCTCGAATAACTGAAGCCAGTGCTTCAGGGTTTGCACCATCTTCACATAGTCTAACACATATAGCGAGAGTCTCAGCATCTAAGCCTGTATTCATTAAATTTGCCATTTCTTGTAACTGGCCAAATATTTCTTGAGCTTCTAAAACACTGCGCGAACGATCAGAATCTGCCATGATCAGAAACCACTTTAAGTACGATTAAAAATAATATTTCTTCAATTTAAGCAATAAATCGGAATTTTATTCAACCACTGCTGTCGTTAAGAGACATTTAAATTCAGTAAAATGATCAATTCATTAAAAATTTGAAAGCTGATTTAGGAGTACTGATGAAAACATTATACTATATAAAAATTTATGCTTATAGCTTACACCTATGCATTTTCACTTCAGTTAATGATTCTTGGCACTGTTGCTTTCTGAATCGTACTCTTGTTTATAACCGTCGTTATACTTTCAGTAAATAAATGTAAATAAACAAATGTGACCTGCTCCGATTACATTTCAATGAATTTTATTTTATTTACTGAACATTAACTTCATATGATGTCATATTGCGCTGCATTTGGATGCAATAACGCTAAAATTAAACCCAACTGCAAAGAAAAATCGTTTTTTGCGTTTCCAGTTCATAATAAAGTGCAATTACTATTGTGGTTACTCAATGTCAGGCGTGCTAATTTCGTTCCAACCAAATATACTGTTCTGTGTTCTGACCATTTTGAAGAAGAATGTTTTAAGCATAAAAATTTTACAAAGAGAAGATTACTAAAGAAGGGAGCTATTCCTACAAAATTTATCTTTTCAAAGAGCAAGGACTGAAAGCACGAAAACCAGTGCAGTAAGTATCAGTATCTGGGAAACAATTTTATTATCAAATAATTTGAATCGAGATAAAAATTTTCAATAGGAAGATATATATGTATCTAGCTGATACGTATACTGACTAGTCTACAATCGCTATGGCGCCAACGGGGTTTTAAACGTGCTAAAATTAATAATATGCATATTATTAGACTACGAGTTAGTCAGTTCTGGGATGTTTTTTTTTTTCTAGTGTCTCGCGGGCCACTGCTTCAACAAAAGTAGGCCTTTATTTTTGTGTAGGTACCAGTACGGAAATCTTGCCTTTCCTATTCATTATTTCGTGTTTTCAAGAGAAAATCTTGAACTGTGGTAGAGCCAAGTCTTGGCAACTTCTGAACGGCAATCCAATAGAGACTAAAAATAAAAACATGACAGAAGAGGATCAATTCATAGGGTATAACTCTTAATCACTTCTAGAAAAACCTCTGCACAGTTTATAAAAAATTTATTTGGCAATTGTTGTTGGCGGAACAGTTTACGATATTGATTGTTAATTGAAGTTATCGAAGAAGTTAATTAAAGAATCGATTGTTGATTGTTATTATATAAACATGTATATATCACCTAATGAAAATAAACCATAATACTTTTTTAAAATGTAGTCTTCACTACTGAATTTTATAAAATGTACTCCAATCTTTTTTCCTATTTCGGAAAAGTGTTTAAAATATTTAAAGTGCCCTTCTTTTTAAAATGGCTATTGCTACCTAGATAATTATCGATTGCATTGCAAGGAACAATATAAATATTTACAGTAAATCAGTAATAAGTTGAAGAAAGGAAGTTATAATAGATCGCTATGTCCCTAAAAATATATTAAATAATCGAATTGTGTATAACAATTGATCATCATCAAAATAATAATATCCTCATAAAATGTCAATCTAATATTGAATTTATCCAGCATAAAAGTTTAGCAACGTAATCCAATATTAATCTGTTATGCAGTGAGCAATCAAATCTTTGTTTTATTATCATTAATTTTGAATCAATAGAGGGTTATTTTCATTTAATATACAAGATGTTCATTGAAAATTCTATTTGAAAATATATGTTTTAAGTGCAGAAGACCAGCGGGACTAAATTTCATCTAAGATGGATTATATCTCTAGGTCAATCTTTTCATACATTGCCATTCATACATTTTACATCGAGCTGTGATGGCTCAGGGGATAGAGCGTTCGCCTTCCAATGAGGTAAACCGGGTTCAAATCCCAGACATGGCTAGTCGATACGAATTCTGCATCCGACTTGCACCGACCGCAGTGCTGACGTGAAATATCCTCAGTGGTAGATGGATCATGGGTTAGATTAATAACCCTGGGAAGTTTCCGTGGTTTTCCTCTCCATGTAACGCAAATGCGGGTTAGTTCCATCCATAAGTCCTATACGAAGGCAAATTTCTCTCATTAGTTGATCCAGGAGTTCCCTTGTCTTCTGGATTGAGTTCAAAATTACATGGCTACGAAGTTGAACATTAGTAGTCGTAAACCCCAAAACATTGGGTCGGCTGTTCAACGACGGTTATAATATATAAAATAAAATGCATACTACATTTACTTGGAAAGAATTTTTTACAAAAATATTTGTTGTTTTTATCTTTGATTCAATTACTATATTCTCTATTTGACTAAATCATAATACTGTGTTTCAGATTTTAATCGTGTTTCAAGTGCAGAAGATCAGCAGGACAAAATTTCATGGAAGGTTGATTGTATTTCAAGTTCATTCTTTTTATGCATTTCATCTTTTTACCCAGCATCAGAAGGTTCAGATTCTTCTGAATCTCTTGGTGAAGTATAACACAAAGATCGAAGAAACCATGTGTTATTGAATATAATATGAAATGTTTCAGAATAAATTGCCAGCTAATGGCACAACAGAGAAAATGTTTTATGAAACGTACAAACAGATGTTGTATTTCTAAAAGATGGAAGAGGAAGACATGGAAAGTTAAAACAGCTGATGAAATAAAACAAAGATTTAGAAACTACATACCGCAGCATCCTGCACACCAATAGTAACTAAATCTTCCTCTATTTCTTTCTAATACGTATAGATTGTATAAAAATCAATGATATAATGCAGGGTTTAAACTACAATTTTGAGACTTGTAAGCTGTGAAATGTTTATAGATAATTTGTATATTTTAGTGTATATATTGATTTATTAGATAGTGTGTTACACACTGTATATTTTTTGATAAGGAAAATAATATTTGAATTGACACACCATTATTGTACAAAGCCTTTATTAACTGGTCAATTTAAAAAAGTTTTAGTTTAAAAGCATTTTTGTAATAAAATTACTGTTGAATGTATTCAAAGTGTGACTTCTTATTGTACTATACAAATGAAATTCATAAACTAGTTATGTAACTGTGTTTGTTATTTTCAACTGATATTGTTGTTGCAAAATTGTTTAAATTTAAGATTTTTCACAAAAAAGGTTTGACAGATACTAATAAGTAATGAGTTTATTTTATTAAAATGTAAAAAATAAGGTTTTTTTAAAAAATTCTTTCAGCATAAGTTAAGGTTTTTACTAATATAGGCATTACAGCAAAAAAAAAGGTATTTACAATTATTCTTATTCTATTTAAAAATGAAAATTTTGCATATTATATTGGAATCTTTCAATCATAAGCCAGGACCTAAGACTAACCGTCTCACAAAGGCCAGAGTAACCTCATTTTTGGATTATTCAATTATTTTGATAAAAATTTAATACAATTCATGTGTTAGACTATCGTAGTCCATTGCACTGAGAGACATAGTGGCTCAAGAGATGGAGCGCTTTACTCCTGAAGAGGTGACCTGGGTATAAATCCCAGCTATGGCTGGCCGATAAAAATTCCGCATCCGGCTCAAACTGATCACTGTGCTGGAGTGAAATATCCTCAGTGGTAGGCAAACCGCGGGTTAGAGCCCCCTTGTCGTCCGGGTAATTGTGGGAGTTTTTTGTTGTTGGTTTCTTTTCATGTTGGGTTACGTCTCTCCAAAGACAAATATATCCCAATACTTGATCCAGAAGTTCCCTTGTCTTCTAGATTGGGGGCAAAATTAAAAGGCAATGGAGTTAAACATTGGTAGTCATTAATTAAAAATTGGATCAGCTGTTCAACAGGGGAAAAAATATTTTGCACAAGAATCTGTTAATGAAATGACACTTCAAATAACCAAAACAATCTTTATATCATATTTGAAAGATAAAAAAAACATTAGATTTGAAAAACGCAACAAAAACTTTAATTTTGTTTTTATGACCTTTGAGGACCAAACTATTTATTTTAACTCATAATCAGCCTTCTCAAGAACATTGCGGTAGCTTCATTTTATTAAGCCTAGAAGGTATTATTACTTTTTTGTTCTCATCTCACAGGTAAAAAATATCAATAATGTCTTTCCTATCAGGCTTGATTTTAGGTTGATTAATGTATCATCAAAAAAAAAAATAAATAAATAAAAATAATTATGACGCTTTGGTTACAGGATACTGAAAGTGATACTATTTTGATACTTACCTTATTTTTGTCAAGTAACTCAATTTGTTCATAATGGACAGTATGGAAGTAATTAATTTACGAAATCTGTTTACCCTAATTAAAATGAAATACAGTGAACTCTTGCTACTGCAATATCCGATACAACAATAACTCCCTCTATTACGATAATGTTTCGTGTTTCCTTTCATATGAATTAATGTTATTCTCTTCTTAATATTACAATATTTTCTTAAGAAATAAACCCCTGTAAAACTTTTTTTTTTCCTCCAAATTTCAACCTTATTTTCTTCATTTCTTAATGGTTTTCAAATAATATAAAAAGACTCTTATCTTTTGCCATTTTTCCACTTTTTTGACAAGAAAAGACTCACTGTGTGTGGACCACTTAGAATTGCCTCCATTATCTCTTAAGAAGTCACAGACTCCTATATGCATGAGTCACAAACACATTAACACCTGAAAGAGAATTTTTTCGGTAGAGCACCATTCACAAACGAAAATCATTTTCCTACTTGGAACTCAATGCATACTTTGTTGGTTGACTTAACAGTCAGAATCATGAATAAACAAACAAAAATATCGGATTATTTTCGATAAAAACAGTTTTCAGGTATGTTTGCGATCTTATTTTATTTCAATTGTTTTTAATGTTAAACCATATCTGCAAGTGAATATATACATTTATAGTTAAAACATAGATAGCATTAAAATTTAAAAAAAATCTTATTGTGTCCCTAAAGTATGTAGGCCTTTGATATAGCAATAGATTCCTCTACAACAACATATTCATTTGGTCCCCAAAATATTGTTGTAGCGAGGTTTTACTGTATTTAAATTCTAAAAATATTTCCAGTACAACATTAATTATAACAGGTCATGAAATTTCAATTCTAAAAGTACTAGCCAGACAAAACTTTTTGCTTATCTCTCTTTTCATAAAAAATAATTTTCCAAAATGTTAACGGATGTAATATGAAGAACTTTTTGGTAACCAAAACCATAAAAATTATATGGACTGAAAAATTTTAACATATTTATTGTAAAGTAATAATATACCTATTTTGAGAAAATTAAAAATAAAAAAATCAACACAAAAATATGGTAAATAATAAAATATTTTCAAAAATTGTCACTAAAAATCATTTATGACAGGTAAATTTTTATATATATTTTTCCCCATATGTTCAAAAAACAATTTCTCTGTTGTAAATTTTGGGCTATAAGTTGTATCTAAATTACAAAATCCATAAAAACCATTACCCATAGTTAAATTTCAATTTGAATTTAATAAAAACATGCATTTAATAGTACTTGTACTAAAAGTTATTTAAATTAAGTTAACATTTTCAACTATGTCATACAGAGAAAGTTTCACGAAGAAAAAAATGGTTCATAAACAGATAAAGGTCTGTTAGAATAAATTTACAATAGTGGTAAAGATAATGTTCGAATCTTGACTTCCTGTAAAGTTTATAGAGGGAGAAGAGCCTTGCGGTTTCATCATAAAAAAAGCTCGCTTTGATGTGGCTTAAGCTTACCACATTGCACTACTGACCGAACATGTGTTATTTTCGTTAAAGACGGCTGGCAGAAAAGCTCTTTTCCATAGATTGCAACGAGGACAGTATTTTTATGAGAACTTGCTTTTTTATTTGTGAAACTACCGTTTTTCCTGAAGTTGAACTTGTGAAGGTACCGCTAAACGACAGTAAATTTACCCTGGTAGAGTACTGTGAATAAATAGTGCAAAAAATAAGTAAAAAGAGAAAGCTCCTCTCCAACCCAATAGCGGTTGGAAGGAGGTAAATAGAAAAAAACGCAATTGAAAAACCTCTGCTGCTGTGCCCCTAAATATTCATTTTTCTTTTGTGCACAAGGACCGCATCGAACCTTGGGAGACCGGTCTATATTATGTCTACTGAAGCTGGCCTTCCCCTATGTATATTCTTTGGTAAGAAGTCCCCTTAGAATTTGCATCGACATTGTGCATATATTAAGGGGATTTTTAAAAAGTTTTTTTACTCCCTAAAAAGGTACCATTTAGGATGAAATAAATATTTGGAAAGTTTCAACTCAGTAAAACAATATTTGAACCTCGTCTCAGATTGTCAAAATTTGAAGAAAATAAATAAATAAATAAAATCTCAAAAAACTGCAAATTTTTTTGCAATAAAATACAAACCTTTGGTTGTAGAAACACAAATCTTTACTAGTTTTATAGATAGTACTTTTAACTTCATCTTTTATAGCTAAACCTTATTAGTAAAGCAAATAGATTAAAAGCTACCAGTGAAATAAATTTTTTAATTGTGGAAAAAATGTGTACTTTTTGCTAATAATGGCAAAAGTAAAATAGATATTAAAAACTTTATTATTATTAAGATCCTCATTTTCAAATCCATGCATGGAAAATTTTTTAGTACAGTAGGGAACCGATTATCCGGAACGATCGGGACCATCGCTATTCCGGATAACTGATTTTTCTGGTTTTCTGAATCGCTACAAAAAGTAGTTTTTTTTATTGTTAAACCCAACTAAAAAAAATATATATATTAGGAAATAATCTTAAAAAGAAGAAAAAACGATGAAGTAATACAGTAATGATTATTTCAAATGATGGTATGGTTAACATCTTTCAAAAAAGAAAGAAAAATCCTAAAATCTTAGGAGGAAAAAAAAATTTTTTTTTTTAAATGGCGGGGAAATTTTATCGAATTTCGTTCTGGTTTTTTGTCACATTAAAAAAAAAAAAACTAACATCAGCCTTAACATTTCCTCATACCACTATGTAATTAAAATTAGTAATATATAATAAAAATTGAATTCAAGATTTTCTTAATCAAATAATTTTAAAATAGAGTTATCAATAATCTCGAAATGAAGTAATTTTCATGGATGTAATCTAATTGTTGATTTTCATCTATGATTTTGAAATTTAGATGACTCGATAATTGTGAAATTACAACTTACCCATGTGATTTATTAATGCAGTTCCTAAAAATAGTAAGTAAACGTATGACCCTTGAATTTATTCATATAATTTGATAATAAAAAAATTAATTCTTTACAATAGAATATCCACAGTACAGTAAATACTGTGGGTCCTGTAATGTGTCTGAATTATGTATGTAAAATTAGTTGATGTTCTCCACTAAATTGGAACTATCAAATTTTGAAGATATAATTAAAAATAAGGAATATTCAGAAAAAATATTTTTTAGCAGAACTACGAACCCTGTGTATATAATAGGTCCTATTTTTTACTAATAAATTTAGAATTAGTAAGACTTAAAAATTTTTTAACAAAATTGGTGGATGGCTAAGTTGAAAAGGTTGGGGACTAATAATGGTATCTGCTTGTTTGATAACAAATTTCCTTCTCATTTATAATTATAAATGTTAAATATATTGATTTAGACTTCAATTTGAACAACTTAAGTTAACATATCAAATATTTTAAATATATTTCAACTAATTATTAAATATATTTTCAAATAATAACTTATTTTTTTCAACTAAGATTTATAATTAAATTACCTACCAATAAAAACTATTACACCTTTATAGTAACTAATTTAATTAATCTCTATGGATTTTAAGATCACATGTGTGATTCATAATATTGAATTTTAAGAAAGTGAAAATACAAATCGCGATAGTGGATTTTTTAATTATGTAAATATGAATGATTTTTCGATCGTGTGAATATGAACACAGATGTGATATTAAAATATTGTGAATATGAAGTTTCAAATATTATGAATGTCGAAAATCCGAAATAATCAAATTGGCAGAAGAATAACATTTAACAATGAAAGTTTGAATTTTAGATGGAACTTTTGCCAAATTATAGGTTTTAATTCGTGGAAGTACACGAATTCAAAACAATATATTTATATATATACCATACGCTGAGCTCTGCTATTACTCTTTAGATCAGGAAAATTGATACGAAAAACCCAGAATGCAATCACCACTTTTATAAGTCACAAATAAATAGGAATGTATGAAATGCTTTCTGTAATAGAGTTATAAGCAGAGTTAAATCAAACTATTCCTTAGAGCTGTTTTCAAATAAGTAGTTACAACCTTCCTGAATTTTTGCTTGATATGAACACCACACTCAGAAAAATCTTATTTCTTACGTGATACATTTTAAAAACAAACTAAATTAATTTCACCACTCAATTCATATAATTTCACAAACTTTATTATTTAAAATAAGCCAAAATTTACAATGTACATTTGATTTCCATCAACTTAAAAGATACAAAAACTAAAATAATTTATTAAATCAATTTTAAAATCTGTCTTTATGATCCCATAACTGATTTTAAAAAAGAAATTGCCATTACAAATATTCAGTAGACATTTCTTTTGCAGTATTTTACAATCTTCAAAATGCATACACAAAAAATATTCTGAAATTTCCCTAAAATTCTTTTTAGTTTTCATAGAAATGATATGCGAGATATATATCTTCTTGTCAAACTATCATTTTAAAAAAATATTTCAAAGAAAAACAATTCAAACTTAACTGATTTACAAAAGATCTAATATTGTCGAAAATTATGAAAAAATTTATTGAAAGAAAATGTGATAAGCTAATTATTAACAATAAAATAAAAATTAAGCCACCTACATTACAACATTGGTACTTGATAAACATGCAAGAGGTGGTATTAAAGACTTTTGCTGCATACAAAATAATAGCAATCATTTTCAGCCTACATACAAGCGAGACTATAATTTTGAATTTAATTTACTTCCACAATAACCTTATCCTTTTATATACAAAATTTTGCCTTTCAACCTAATATCTCACTAGCCTAAAATATTACAAATTGTTAAAATAATCAGCAGTTCATAACCAAAGCAAGAACAATAAGATTTGTGAAACTAATTTCACTTAAATACTTCGCTAATAAAATTTAAGCTCTGTAGCAAATACAAATCCCTTGATATTAACATATTTAGAAACAAAAGCAAATACCACACTATAAAACTATGAGTTGACTCGCATACAGTTGAGATTCAACATTTGTTAATATTTACAAACATATAAAACATTTTCTTTCTTTTCGTACTTTCAACCTGCTATATACAAAAACTGATTTTAGATCAATTAAACAGTACAGTCTACTTAATTATCAATTTGGTTATCTAGACAAAAACCGTGAAAGAGTGATTGATTTAAACACATTAAGTATTTGCTTAAAATGAGCTTGTTGCTATCTTCTATTAATCACCAGTTTTTTCTCCCTCCAGTCTTTAAAACCCATATTCACAGGTCAGAAAAATTCAAATGAATTATGTCAACATATTATACACTGCATGAGAATTTATTTAGCATTAACTAATCATTTTCGTTGAAAATGAACATGACAAGACTATTTTCACACTGAAGCTAATAATTGCAGTTTGTTTGAATTGAGCATATTACCACTAAATAGGTCAGAATTGAACAATACTAAATTGCGAATCTAATTAAGCCATTACTGTTCCAGTTGAATACAACTAACCTTAGCGAAAACCTTTAGCTGCAATGTTAGTTTTATTCTTTTCAAAAGAATACAAGACGATAATACTTATTTAGTGAATTAATTTGTCCATTCTGTCGGCATAGCGGAATAAATTGCAATCAAAACAGAAATTGCTCCCGAATAAGTTACAGATGAATATATTTACTTCTGTGTGAAAACATGTGAATTTTAGCTACAGGAAATATTTCTAGAAATTTACTATCTAATGCTGCCACATTCTTACCAAATAGAGTACATTGTTAAACCACCATCTGTCTCGAAACGGCTTTTATTTCTGTAGCCCACTTAATACCTGTTAAATTAGACTAAATAATTACTGCTTCTTCTATGTTATTTTTGTCCCATGTTGAGTCTTGAAAAACACATTGTATTAGCAACAAGTAATTAAAAAACCAAGAAGCTCCATGCCTGCTAAGCTGTCTTATTCAAGTGAAGGCCAAGACGCTTGATAACAGCAATTTAGTTATTTCAATAGTACACTTAAATAATGAATGACTAAATAAATCAGTCAAATCCAAGTGAGATTTAACAGTTCTGAACACATAGCTTTAGTTACAGATTATTAAAATTTCTGGTAGCTCAATCTCAGCAACTCTCAAAAAGTTTGGGTGGCTGTATTTTTCAGATATGCTTCCTGCTGATTTTCCTGCCACATCACGCGCTTTGTTAAACAAACTATTAATAGCTGGCTTCAAATCATCGAGCGTATACCCCGTCATGTTGAGCTCGTCGATCCACATGATGTAGCCCAAAATATATCGAGCGAGACAATAAGCCGCAACACCGAGGAGGCTCGGTAAAAAGGAAAGGAATGGTTCGTTATCTAGAAGAGCAAGCTCACACAAATATTGACCAAGGTAGAGTAGCTTTTTTGGAGATCTTGTCAAACTATATACCAAACTCATAAAGGAAAGTGCCGTTGGACCCCCTACATAGAAATGTAACCTATCCATGATTATCTGCTCCATACGTAGTATGTGTTTCTTGGTGTAAGTGTTATCCGTAATCCAGGCATACATTTTCAATTCCTGTGCATTAACTTCTTCATATTTGGCTGTGATAAATAAACAAGCGATTCCAACTAGTTGAAGTTTACCTTTGGTAACAGTTGTACAGGACAAAAATCTATCAGTTAACGAGACAGCAAGATGTACAGCTTCACTGGAAAATTCAAACTGTATGCCAACATCTACAAGCCAGTCAACCAAGATGGCTCGCATGTTTGAGTTTATATCCATTTGTAGACTCATGTACTTTGAATTTGGTTTGTATTTCTGCTCAATTCTTCTTAGGTGCATAAAATTGTCGTCTTTGTAGGGAGAATCGTGACACAGGTAGTCTATGGCTTCGTTTTCTAGACTGCCTTCAAACAGTGGAGGCGGAGGAGGTGGAAAATTTTCAATATCCAAGTTTTCATTATTATCTTCGTTAAACAGACGGAAAGCTGGCTTTTCCGGCTGCTTTTCTTCCTTCACTTTCACATTATAGCTTTCATCATTGTCAGAGAAAATTGAAAATGATTGCACCGGGTTCGCTTTTAAGACACTAGGTTCATATGTACTGAAATACTGATTTGTTTCGAGTTCATCTTTCGCACGCGGCAATTTTTGGTTTCCATTTATAAGCGACAAAGGAGCCCTTTCTTTAGGACGCAATCCTGTTTCCATTTGTCCTTGTTTATATGACGTGTAAAAAGCCATTTTAAGTTAATAATCTTTCACAACGTAATTAGCCACTTCAAATTAAGTCTTTTACAGCCAAGTTATAAATACTTTCTGAATTTATTCTCACAGTGTAGGTAGGGGTGAGATAACAAATGATGATACAGAATTTCTAAAAGAAGTGAATAAAATACTTTACGCATAAAAAATTCAGATACTTCAGACACTTCAAACTCCCGCTTGCTTTAGCATTGGCGCTATTTTTACTAGTTTTTTCTTTTTTAAGATATTCGCAGTTAACAGTGAAGATTTTAAAACCAACTGAAATATTGCAAATTTTGATTGGTGCATTTTGATCACATGATCATAAATATCTACCAAAAGTATAACTTGCAATGAATTTTTATAATTAAAATGTAAATATTGTGAGTGAAAAATGTTCCTTAAAATTCTCTAATGAGACACAATATAAAACCCTTTAAAAAATAAATAATATTTTATACTTAAGTACGAACTGAAGTGAGTTACCCGGAATCACGTTGATTTTTGTTAGTAAACAGATATTTGTAAACATAAGGAAGACAACGGGCAAAACAGAATTTGAAATCGAACTAAATCTGAATTTGAACTAAAATTAGCCTACAATTAATAAACTTATTCAAAAAACTCAAAGCTTTGGCAATTGTTTGTCTGATGTAATATAACTTGCACTTAATTATCTTTCTCACGACCAACCTAGAGATAACCACTTCATCAATCTCGTGATCTAAATTGTGATAATTTTTTTCTTTTTACACATTTTATCTCACATCATAAATGGAATAACCAAACCTAATTCTCTGAGAAAAAATTATTATTTTTGAAAAACTAGTAACAATAGATGTACGCTATGTTTCAGAAAACTCTATTCATTATTTTACCTATACTTCTTAAATTCAGTTGCATAGAAGCTATTAAGAGCATTGATTTTGTAAAAAATGACCAAAATGCGAATGGATTAGTGCCTATTGTTTTGTGGCATGGTATGGGTGATAGCTGCTGTAATCCCATGAGCATGGGCAGCATACAGAAATTCCTTCAGCAAAGCATCCCAGGTGTCTATGTGAAATCGTTAGAAATAGGTTCTAATGAACTTACAGATATGGAAAATAGCTATTTAATGAGTGTTAATGATCAAGTTGCTATGGCATGTCGAATCATTGCAAATGACAGCAGTTTGAAAGATGGCTACAATGCTATTGGCTTTTCCCAAGGAGGTCAGTTTTTGAGAGCTGTAGCACAGCGTTGTCCCAATCCCCCAATGAAAAATCTTATTTCATTTGGTGGTCAACACCAAGGAGTATATGGATTTCCTAGGTGTCCTGGAGAGAGCGCTAAATTCTGCGACTATGTCCGCAGGATATTAAATGAAGGAGCCTATGTGGATTGGATTCAGCGACATTTGGCTCAGGCTCAGTATTGGCATGATCCCCTGCAAGAGGCTAAATATAAAGCTAAAAGTTTGTTTTTAGCAGAAATCAATAATGAAAATGTGAAAAATGAAACCTACAAAAACAACCTGAAAAAGCTTGAGAATATTGTACTTGTTATGTTTACTGAAGATAAAATGGTAGATCCCAAAGAATCGGAGTGGTTTGGTTTTTATACACCCGGGCAGTCGAAAGAAATTCTTAGTTTGCAGGACAGTCCATTGTATAAGGAAGATTGGTTGGGTTTGAAAGAGATGGATGGGAAAGGACAATTACACTTTTTGAAAACTGTTGGTGATCATTTGCAAATAGACTTAACATGGTTTAAAACAAATATTATTGAGAAATTTCTTAAATAAAATACATTTTCACGCTTCTTAGCATATGATGCAGCTTAATGTAATTTATAATTAATGTTTTGTTATTATCATTTAAGCTTTTCAAAAGTATTTTTATTGATTTCTTGTTATATTCATATATTTGTAATTTTTATATTCATGTTTTTGTAAATCTGTCAGCTTATACTTTTTTGTCAAAAAAAATTTTTTTTTTCTATTTTTAAGGTAGTAACATTTATCTTTTCATACATGTATCTTGTATTTTAAAATTTTTTATCTACCTCAACGCATTAATAATTCAAATCTACTTCTATAAGATGCATTAGTTTAGCAAAATTATTTTTAAATGTTGCCAAAATCCATAAAATATGATTCAATTTTTTAAAAATATTGTATTTAATTTTTTGTTTTATTCATTTATTTGAAATTTTTATATTTATGTTGGAGTAAATCTGTGTAGCTGCCAGCTTGTATTATTGAAGAAGCTTTTTCTTGATAATAGCATATATAAACATGTTTCTATGTATCTTGTTGACAAAATAATAACTCAATGACACTTGTATAATATCTATTCACCTGATAGATCTGCTTTTAATTGATAAATGAATTTTTTCTTTGAGAATCATATTTTATTACCGCTTTGTAAACTCTTCTGCAATGGCCATGCAAATGTATAGCTATTTAGAAATAAACTGATGAATGTGACGAAAACGTTTTTTGTTCTTTTCCATATTTAAGTAGGTACTCTTTTCACCAATAATATGTCCTTTTAAACTTTGCTCATGAAGCAAAATGATACTTTTACTTTTATGTATCTTTGCTATAATAATATGAGTTTGTTATGTTTTCATTAATGTCTGTAACATTGAAGAATAGTAAATGTTTAATAATAATTAGTTATAAGTTGAAAAGTGTATGTCTAATGATAGTATTTAAGATCAAATGCTAAAAAAAATTATATTTTGTGTCTTAATTGTTAACAATTTTGAGCTCAATGTTTTTAATTTTGGAAATAATCATCAAATTAAACACTTTGAAGTAACTGTATGAAAGTAATGACATAAGTTTTTAGTGTGAGCTTTAACTGTAGTTTTTTTAATGAAGTGAGTGCATTGAATTAAAAATAAATTGGGTTCATATAGAACAGAGATAATAGACACTTCCTAAATATTTATTCAATTCTACAGACAAATATTTTGTGCTTAATTAACTTGTTTTAAGGAAAAACCATCTGACACAGATCTCAATACTTTAATTCGAGTTCTGTGTCAGATGCTTCTTCCTGAAAGCAAGTGTTTAATTCATAATTTATGTTCTATTCTAGATTAATAAAATGTTTGTATGCTATTAAAAAACCACATTTCGAAAAATAACAATAAAATTTACTAATTATGATACTTAGTGATGCAATTCTGGCGGTTCATGCTCAGAAATTCTTATAAATGTTCTAAAAGTATGCATGATTTTGTTAATCTTAATGATTTGTTAATTTTGATATCCTAAATAAATTTCAATCTTTCAAAGATTGAAAATAATTGATAAAATAATGCAATACATTATTATTATTATTCCACTATTTTTTATTTTACACTTTTTGTTTTCTTAAATATCCTGACCCGTTTTCATCAATGGTTTTTAAATTATTTGATTCAAGTTACATCACTGGATATTTTGACCAGTGGATAATGATAGGTAACTTAATAAATTGCAAATTTTTATTACTTTGTACTAGGTGAGAATAATCTTTTTTAGGGGAGTGCTACAGTAAGAAATATTTTGGCTATTGGACACATTGAATTCATATTTTTTGTCAGATAACATGACACTAATACATTTATTCTGTACTATAATTTGAAAACAAAATACGGTGAATTCTTTCGAGCGAGACCACTTTCCGTTGCACAGTAAAATGGTCGTTGATAAAAATTGGTCGTTCTTAGAGATTGACTCCATTGATTTCAAAATTGTTATTGAAAGTTCATGTTTTCATAAAAATGATTTTAGTTTTAGTCGGTGTCATTTTCTGGGTGCCGAAATGCCACTTCTGTTGGTGACATGAAAAGACGTAACGATGAATGAAATATAGCATCTATAAAAAGTATCCCAACTGATATAAATGTGTATAAAAACAAATTTACCAATTATGAATGATAAAGCTATTTTAAATAAATAAACAACTATATTTTTTTTGTTTAAGATTGCATTTCTCATAAAAATGAGATAGCTTTAGATGAAAAGAGGTTTGTTTAAGATGCTTGTTTTTATCTAAAGTTTTTTTTCTTCCCAATTTAACTTTCAATTCAAAAGGTAAATCATTGATAGCATTGTCTTTAGTGCACTCTGACTGCAACATGAGGTTATGTTGTCAAAAAGAGCTCTCAAAATAAAAGCCTCATAAATATTTTGAATACATTTTAATCTACTTATTTGTTTTGTTAAATTTTTTGTTTTTATATTTTTTCGCGTTTCCTTATTTGACTTTTTCCGCATTTGGTGCCGTTTTTTGCCCGGTCGCTGGGAGGGGCTTTACTAGTCTCTCCTAAAGACTTTTCTTCAACACAAAGTCTACGGAAAAAATTCTGTATCTCCCAAAAGTGGTCGTAAATAGAGGTGGTCTTTTTTGGAGGTTTCACTGTGTCTATCTTTCTTTAAAATTCATAAAGTAAAGCATATTTTATATTTATGTGAGTTGTTAGGATGGGTGTTAGACTTTTGTAATATGGCCAGTTTATATTTTTGTATGCTTAATTATTAACTTTTATTGGCACTTTATATTTATTAACATTTATTGGCACTTTTAAATAACCAAGGTAATTATAATACAAGCTTAAGTAGTTCGGTTCATCATCAATAGAGGGCGACACCAAATGCTCACCCCTCCAGGATGATGGTTGAGTCCTGTTGTCTGGACCAATTGGAGAGGACCGCTGTCAGCGCCACCGCCTGCAAACTAAGGCAGAAAAACCATTTTTTCNATTTTCCATTAAAAAAAATGATAAAAAGCGTTATCAAAACGCCTCGTGTTTAATCAGTTTTTGGAAAAGGTAATGGTGTGAATTCCAATTCAAGGAATGAAAACAAATTAAAATCCAATTTTCCTTGATTCCTAAGGATGTATTTGTAAATACTATTCAACCCATTTCAAAACTTCTAAGCAATTATTAGGAAACTATTTTTATAGGAATTATTCTTTCTCACAATTCATATTCATTCATATTTTCATTTCATATTCAATTGGTTGAATGAAACAGAAAGAAAAAAATCTAATGCTATCGAAAAATCTAATGTTCGCAAAATATTTTTACAACGAAAATATGATAGGTTGTAATTAATGTTGAAAAAAAGTTTTAAATTACAAAATCAATATTTTTTTTTTGTAGCAAATTTTTTAAGGAAATCGCGTCCAAAATAATGCATCTTTGTATTTAATCGTAGAATTCTTAGATATAGGTACTAAATAATAATATCAAATAAGTAAGTAAATTAAATAAATTTCTTTCTTTTTCTTTTGTAACATGAAATGTTTAGGGGAATCGTATCCAAAACAATGTTTATTTGTAATTTGATCGTAGATATAAATACATATTAAATACTAAATTATGATAATATTAAATGAGCAAATAATATTAAATAAACAAATTAATTAAATTTATTTCGTTTTTATTGTAACATAAAATTTTTAGGGCAATCGCATCCAAAACAATGTTTATTTGTGATATAATCGTAGAATTCTTAGATATAGATACTTAATAGCTAATAAATAATAATAATATTAAATAAGTAAATTAATTAAATAAATTTCTTTTATATCGTGACATAGAAGTTTAGGGGGATCGCATCCAAAACAATGTTTTGTAATTTAATTGCAAAATTCTTAGATACAACTACTTTATAGATACTAAATAATAATATTCAATATGTAAATAAATTAAATAATTACCTAAATAAATAAATTTTTTGTTATTTTTATATTTTTCTTCTTCCATTTTTTTAATATTTTTATCCATTTTGTGCAATCCGGTCTTCATCAAGTTCACATTTTCCAAAGTTAGTTTTAATCTTATAAAATATTTTGGAACACATTCAAATATGCCAAGAATATCTAATACTACAATTAAAATTAATTAGCAATAAAAATGCAGAATATTTGATTTCAAACATAATATTGTGACGTCAAAAAATTAACTATAGAGCCATGTCACTGTTTTCTCTATTCGCTGTAACATTTTAGAAAGCTATTATAATATTAAAATTATTTATAAATACAACTTCACATCATGATTTTTACAATTGTCAATTTTTTTTAAATAATATTCAGGCAGTATCTGTATATTTCTAATATTCAGCAGTATATTAAATAATAACTTAATAATATGTTTTAAATATGTTTAAAAAAATATTTTCATAAATAGAAATTTAGCATATACAATCGTTAAATTATTTAAATAAAATTTCAAATTTTTATTAACAATAATAGCATATCTTACGCTAAAGGAAGAAAATATATGAATAGATTGTTCATTTAAATTTCTAATAACATATTTTGAAAATAAATTTTCTGTTCAGTGGTAAATTAAGCATTCATAAATAGAAAATGTGGATATTTCATACAGTATTAATACTAATCATCAATAAAACGATTGAAAGATTCTTATATAACTTTTGTACAAATTGTAAGGTGACCGAAAATTATTAAAACGATTTTTTTGCGTGGATGAAACTTGAAAATTGGGAATGGAATTAAATTGAAAATGAAGGAGAACTTCCTCATAGCATAATCCTCTCATGATCTGTTTAGATCTTGATTTTTTTTCCAACAATGGAAACCTTATTTCCTACTCTAGAATTATCTAAACTCCCTTTTCTCTTGACTTTGATTTTAAATAACTTATGGAGGTAAAAGAGAATTCGCCGTCAAGGGTTTCTAACTTGATATAACCTTCTTTTCAGCGTCTAGAGAGCTTGTGACGTCAGAAATTTGGCTCTCCAAAAAGGGAAGTTTGTCTACGATAAGAACTCCCCCCGCCACAAAGTCTGAGACTGTCTGCTGGGATGGAAAACCGAATAGCGCATTTTAGGGTAGTTCTGTAAATATGTACGAGTACAAATTTATATTTTTTCTACGCAAGACGCTTATACCTTCTAATTGAAGAAATTAAATTTTCCTCCATCAAATTAACCTCATTATTTTGAAAAAAGATAGAGTTTTCAGGTATCATTTATGAAGTAAAAATAGCTTAGGCATTAATTTTTCAGAAAAATAATTTATTATTGGACTATCTATTTACGAAGACAAAACTTTTGCATTGTCTTCAAAAGTTAACTAAATCTTTAAACCCTTAACGATCTTAATATTTTCCAGAAAACGGTCATAAAAGTGCCTATTCTTTTATTCGAGAAAATTATATATATAAAAAAAGTGTATATACAGTATATATATGTATTCTTTTTCGATTTTTGGAATTTTTTGTCTTGCAATTTAAAACTCCATGTGTCTATGTAACTCAGATTATGTACACAATATTAAAGTGTAAAGCATTAATATGTATTAAAGTGTAAAGCATAAGTGGCTGAGCTTATAGTACGAAATACATATCTCAATTACATATATATGGTTCTGACATTTTGTTTTAAATAAACTATCTCCCAGCTATATTAAAAGATAGTTTGGTGCAGCCATCTAGTGTGTAAAATAAGAAATAAAAAAATTA